GGCCCCAAAAAAGGCTGAATGCGATAACCTCATCGCAAGTCATACTGAATTATTACATAATAAGGACTGGCTAAAAATCAAAGTTTTCATCCAGAACCAGTACCGAAAGAAAAAATGAATACCATCTCAATTTATGAGCGAACCCGTTTTTTTAATAAAGTAGAAATTAAGTATGAACATATGTATCACAAACTAAGTATAAGCATTTTTTAGTAGTTTCATTTTGTCAATGTATAAATTCAGTTTTCTTCTTATGTATTTTCGTAAATAAAATTCATACCGATATTATTTGCGTTTATCCTTCGCTCCTATAACCGCGTGGTTGTCAAAGCACAAAATGTTGAAAAATGTAGGTCATTGTCCGAAAGCGAAGTTTATGCAATTTTCTCTTCGTTTGTTGACCACTCTGCAACCACTGCAGCTAAAGCGAATTTTTTGTGATTACATTAATTCCCTGCCAATAGGCGCGGTAAGTAAAAGCATATTTTTTAAATTGTAAAACTAGGATTAGCATATTTGTTTTTATTTTATTCTATAGGAAATTGGATTTGAGCATCACCTTTATCATATTTGAGAGTGTTTTTTTGTGAACATTTTTCCTTAATACTACACCATCCTTGATTTTCTATTCATGTGGTTGTATTTGCATAATGGTCTATCTATATTACCCTTTTTAATTTAGCTTGAGTAGCTTTACGCTAAACTTTGCTCTTTGTTCATATAATCATGTATTGTACACATCGTGACCCAATATTCCATGGACGTGAGATTACTAGTTATTTTCAGACTGAGAACAAGTCGATTGCACATAAGTTATCTGTATTCGAAGGTGCTTCGTTAGGGGGCATCAAAGTTTTCTTTTAAAAACACGTTTTCCAAGATATTTCAAAAGCCGGTAGGTCGATTTTAATGAAATTTGGAACACATATGCTCTGCTCAGCGTTCTAATATTTGCCTTTTACGAAAAACTCCAGAGCTTTTTGGAAGGGTGAAAACTACCCCCACACCTACATAAATTGTAGCAGAATTTTTCCCAACTTTCCTCATGACCGATTTTTTTATTTATTCCATCCTTTGTCTCTCATTAAAACGAGATATCTTTCATAGTTTTCGAGAAAAAAAAACCTTTTTTGGGGCTGGTTTCTAAAAAAATGTTTTAACACATCAAGCGTAAAAATCTAGTTGGCAAATAAACGAAGCACTTTTGCATAGAGGTGACTTATGTCAAATCGACTTGTTATGAGTCTAAAACCTGATTGGAAAAACATTTTTTTCCGAAAACTAGTAATAATAATCGTAATCATAATCATAATCACAACCATAATCGTAATCATAATTATATTAATAATGATAGTAATCGAACAAATATATTATTGCTGCATTACGGTACTCTCGGTCACGGACGCCCCTATTATAATGCCTGACGGCGAACTGGGCCGCACCAGACATAGAAAGGTGAAAAGCCGATCCTCTAACACAGCAAATATAATAAAATACCTAATACAGCGATGCCAATATTAAGGAGGATCTAAAAGCGATAATCTGGATACTGAATACCCGGCAGATGACCGATCCACTGTAGACCTGACTGGTAATATTTGATAATATACGGGCTGAATACCCAAGCGATCGTGAGTCCACCAAATCGGCGCGGCAAAACCCTGAACTACGGTACCCAAATTCGGCGAAAAACATGATCTAGGTCATCCCTCTGAAATTTTGCCAGGTGACAGAGGGGGGCCTGAGGGGCCGATAGGTGGAATTTGCGATAGGTCCTCCTTATACGGAGGACCTATCAGAGCGGAGGACCTATCGACTCTAAAAAGCCCATGAGTGGAGGACCGATCCATCAGAATCTACATATATATATATATATATATATATATATATTCCACCAAAATACATATATTCCATAAATTTTTATCCAAACAGTCGTGGACATCTATTTTGATGGAAAAATGATTTGATATTTATCGTAAAAAAACGTGTATTAAAAACCAGTGAAAGTGCATATCTCTTTACTAATTTTCAAAATAAACTAAAAAAAATCTGCAAAAATAACAATACAAACTGAAATAAAAAATACAAAAAGTATTTTACTAAAGTATCAAACACAAAGAACATATAAACAAAACAAAAGATAAATAATTCCACTAACCATATAATACTGCAAATGGTTAAAAAATCGAGATCAAATATCACAAGAAAAATACAACAAAAAAGCATTATGTATTACAATAACAATCACATATTCGTGTGGAGGAATATGAGCTGTGACACTTTACCGGGTTTTAAAAGGGTACGACGTTCATTCAAAATTTGCCCGGTGCCAGAAAAGATCCTTTCACATGGTACCGAGGTCGCGACATTGCAAAACCTTTTCATGACATAGGCGTATAAATCTGGATGAATATTTTTTCGTTGATCCCACCATTCTAGTGGATCACTTTTTCTTTCTAACTAGTCCTCGTTCAAATACCTATCTAGCTCCTTGATCCCAGCTACTTTTTTATTTTCAGGCCTGCTGTTTCGTCATACTCCTCCCATATGCTTTTTGTTGATGTTGGAGGTGCTGATGGCGGGCCGTTTCCGTCAAATGAATCATTTGCTTCATTTTTATGAGGTATTTGACCAGAACCAACTTTATTCCTCAGTCCTTGTACTGCTTTTTCAAAACAGTCTGCATTTTTTGAAACCACGTTTTTTGAATCTTGGATCCAAAACAGTGCATTCTGCAAACAAGATGTTGTTCTCTATATTTTGAAATCTGGCATTCATTTCTTTCTTCAAAACCTCTAGAACTGCTTGCACTTTAGAGTGGTTTGCAGAACTTTTTGCAAGTATTCTCTCTATCATTTTATACATAACAATAACTTTTGATAGAGTGACGTTTTTCTCTGCACTAATTTCTGTTGTCACCTCATAGAATGGAAGAAGCAGAGGTAGAACTTCCTCTATAATAGACCAGTCCTCTTGTTGTAGCGAAAGGTCATTTCGCGTTAGTGCTATTGTTGTAATTACAGCATCTTTTATTGTAACCACCCTATCTAAGATCTCATATGTCCAGTTCCATCGAGTTGGGACATCCTGTTTTAATTTTAATAGTGGCAGATTCATTTGTCGTTGGGACTCTTGCAATTTATGCAGACCTTGGGAGCTCCTTTTAAAATACTCGACAATAGACTTAACCTTCACTAACGTATCTGATATTTGTTCTGTAGCTCTTTGTACAACTAAATTTATAAGGTGTGCAAAGCAGCCTATCGATCGCCAATTACCCATTCTTATAGCCGAAATAATATTTGGTGCATTGTCGCTCACTACAGCAACAATTTTATGAGAAATCTGCCAATGGTTCATAGTTTCTTTGAGAAATGTACATAGATTTTCACTAGTATGCCTTTCAGTATATTGAATACAACCTAATGTCGAAGAACACAGTTTAGAGTTATCATCAATATAGTGGGCCATTAGAGCAATATAACTCTCATTATTTCTGGATGTCCATGCATCAGTCTTCGCATGTATTCGTCACATTTGATGCACCGTAGGCTTGTTGACGCTGAGGTTCAGGTTCCGTTAACAACAGTAAGGGATGTTTACTTTTCATGTGGCGATTCAGGTTTCCATTAGAACCATTAGCAATACTAATGGATTGAGAACAATAATTGCACTTTGCTCTTTTGTCGCCCTGATCTTTGAAATGGTCCCAAAGAGCACTATGTTTTCTTTTTGAAGACATTTTTATTCCAGAAATATTATTTGAATTTGAAAATAATACTCCTGAAACAAAAATAACATAGAAGTAAAAAACGCAAAGAACATCCATTACTGTCAGCAAGTAAATATGAAAACGTCAACAAAAAATTAATGAATAGTGCTTATTAGAAGATAAACGGATTTTATTTAATAGGCTTTTCTAACTAAGTATATTTATTTACTCCTCACACCATATATTATGTGTTTCAAGCCAGGTTATTATTCTTACCTTCGTTCTCTAATATCGGGATACAATTATTAAAATCACTAAATTGCACGTTTGCTCTGGAAATCTTTACGATTTAATCACATGTAAAAAGTTTTGGCGCGTGGTCGATGACTGTTGCAAATCTGATTATGGTTTTACAGCTTTTCGCGCCACTATTTGTGGAATGCGGGCTGATGCGTGCGCCACCTTTGGGCCAAAAGTATAAGAGATGAAAAACATATAACAGCAAACCTACTTTATCGACGGCAAAGTAGAAATCTCAATAAACAGGTGGCACATTGTGGCTGTTGTGACGAAAACGTGGGCCAATGATAAAACCATAATTGAACCATACCGTAAAAATAATATTTGTTTTTATGCTGTGACTGAACGCCCTATTTCCGAAAATAAGAGCTCAAACCTAAATTAAAAGTTTTGTTCGTCATGTCTGAAAAATTAGTTTGAATGCTTGCTCAACATATTTAAGAAATAACTGGGTAATAATGTCAATAAATTAAAAGCTCTATGCATGTCATAAGACGGACGCATAGCATAGCATTCAAACATTTCATTTTAGTTGTTCGGAAGGCTAGATAGATACAAATATTAGATACCTATTTAAATAACATGTTTCACAGAAAGAAGCAAGTCTACTGCTCGTTCAATTGCCAACAAAAACATTAATTTATGTTGAATGTTTATAAAGGAAAATTCGGAAATCGCTAGGCCTGACAATAAAGCATTTTCAAAAAATTTGCTCGGCCCGTCAGTCGTGTTCGTTCGGGTTCATCTTTGCACACCGTCGCTCCGTTTAAATCAAACATCTGATCGAGAGCGCGCCATCCATTGTTCACTGATTCTGAGAGCGAGAGCGCATAGCGGTGAGCCAGCGAGCCCAGCCCAGCTGTGACAGACTGCGGCTGCGTGGTGCGAGCAGTGAGCCGGTGAGAGGGGAGTGCATACTGAGCGAGTGAGCGGGTGAGCGGTTTTTCTGAAAGCTGCTGAACTAGTTCACCTAGTTCACATATCAGAGCCGGTTCTTTGAACTAGTTCGTTCAGGAACTACCCAACTCTAGCTCCTTCCAATATGCTTTCAAGTGCCTGGATGCATGAATCCATTCTTAGGAAGATCATTCGCCTCTTTATCCTTCCAAAATAGATATGGAATTTTAGTGAGTTTTGTAAGCAATATCATGATGGTTTATATGTGCAAAAAAGATGCACAGATTCAAGAAACATTAAAAATTGTACACCTTTGTGTAGGCTGCAATTTTATAATGATATAGTAGTTATAGTATCAAATTTCAAGGTTCCCACTAATATAAACAAAATATCAGATAGGGCAGGGCAATTTCAGAGCATTTATACATTATACATACTTGTAGCCTGACACTATCCAATCCAAAGTCCAACATTGATTTGTGAACAGGCATCTCCAACATCAACAATGCAGTTGCACCTGGGATACAACATCTCGTAAAGTCTGTGAGAACGAACCACATCTGAAAAAAATGCGTTAAGTATATAAATATTAATATGCAATGATTAATTTTTAAATTTACCTACCTTCATCAAGGAACTGCTTGGTTGTAAGCTGTTAGCCTTTTATTTAATGAATACACATCCATTTTCATTGTTCATTTGATTCATCTGCCTAAAATTTCTTAAACCTCAAAAAATAAACATAACCTAACATCTAACATCACAATTGACTTGTGATTGACAGCAGACTAGAAATCTAAAGGTCTATTCACACTCAGCCGTGATGTGAAGTGCCCGTGATTCTCACTGACGTGAGCTCACAGTGTTTTCAATTCACACCGTTCAGTATTTTTCTCCGTGCTCTCTCAGTGCAGTTGTGTTCACGTGAGGTCGAGATGGCACAATTTTCAGAGGATGAACTTGCAATTATTGCATTAATTCTGGATTTTTTTTATACTCGACTACCACGAAGGCCTAAACAAACATGGAGAACCATGGTGCTATAGGGGGAAACATAGGGGAAAGAGGGAACATGTGTGCAAGCAACATGCACACATGCTGACTCCGCCTACAAGATCCGCTGGGTGGTACCTCCGCGTTCGACAGTCAGAGACCGTCTACGACCTACGAAAGATGAAGAATAAGAAACGAGAAGAAAACGGAAGTCCATGTATTTTGAACTTGACTGGTTCTACAACATGGGATGTACGCGTACAAATTCAATTAGTTTCTCATCATTCATGTTTTTGACCAATTATATCAAAATAGTCACGAAATTACATAAAAACACGGCCGTGAAAATCGAAAAATATCGTTCCAAAACAATGCGATTATCACGGTACGGCGTCGTCAAGGGCACTGAGAACACGGCCACTTCCTCGTGCCGGTCTAGTGTGAATCAGTTCATACAAATTCCAGGAAGAATCTTTTTAGTTTCGCCGGGCGGATCACGCCCCGCTCACAGCACTGACACGTCACGGCCGAGTATGAATACGCCTCAAAGCAGCACATACAAATACCTTACTGAAGATGACATGCTGTTATGACAATCAAGGAGGCCATAAAGGGGTCCTACATTGTTTCCCCGCAACGCCATCAGTTTATAAAGGATTTATCCACGATACGGATTTATCGAAATAAGACAGCGCCATAGTCGGTATATCTGGATAGAGGATAGTTGCCGAGGGCGTGATAGTTGCTATGCTTTCGTTCGTTGTCCCATAAACCAAGTAACCAAGAGTAGTCTATACTGATGAGTTGCCAGAAAAGCACGATCAGTGTCTGGTTGGAAGGACGAAAGCGGCATGCAGTTGGTCCCTCTAAGAAAAAAGTTAGTTACAAACATGTATAACAGAAATTAAACGGATCCAGTCAGTCAAAGAGGTCCATACAATTAGTCCATAACACCCTTTCCCTGCCCGACCCATAGTCCATCTGGCAACGTCGTGTCACTTCTCCCCAATGTCGGAAAGCACGATGCCGCAGAACACCAGTCATGCGGTGCACATACGAACAAGGCACGCCAGCCAGAACGAAGGGATGCTTGCCAAAAACATGCTTCTATCGTTCTAAGCTTTAAAAGCATTTGCAATATATGATGTGTGAAATAGGTCTAAAGGATGTATTAATTATACCAAAATCTACATGTAAAAATCCTCTTATGCTATTTCAACCTGGACTCTGGACTGCCGCTTGAGTCATGCCTATGTTTAAGATTACTTGCAACTCACAACTTCCTTATGGACTTTGTACATGTCTGTTTCTGTAACACTGTGCTTCCTATACCTTTGTTTTAGATATCCTTTATCAGATAGATGGGGGTTGATCAAATTTATAGAAATCATAGGCCACAATAATTTTTTTAATAACTAAAAAATTCTTATAAAAAACCAAACAGCTGATAATGCAATATATATTTACAAAATATCTAATAATACAAATGAGTACCATTTTCAAAGCAAAATGCAGTTCAAGAGAGTACAAATTACAAAAAAATTAACATGAAGCTTTGCCAAACCGCTCAGACACATCCTTCCAGTTGATAATATCAAAAATAGCATTAACATAATCTGCTCTCATGTTTTTGTATTGCAAATAGTATGCATGCTCCCAAACATCAATACCAAGGATTGGAACTAGACCTGTGGTTGCTTGAAGAGGATCTTGGTTTGCACAGGTAATGATTTTGATTACCCCTAAAAAACACAGTTTAAGCTAGTTTTCCTACATATATCAAGTTCTTTTATGTTAGTCCAATATCATTTTAAGATCATATTTTTGCATTATACAGAGCATTTTTTTGTGTTTTGTACCTGAAGATTTATCATATCCAAGCCAACCCCAACCAGATCCTTGGATTGCAACTGTCTGAGCAGACAACTGCTTTTTCATATTATCCATGCTGCCAAAAGAAGCTTGTATAGCTTTGCAGAGTCCTTCACTGGGTTCTGTTCTACTGGGGGATAAATTCTGCCAGAAGATGGAATGATTTAGGTGCCCGCCACCATTGAATTTTAGAGCTGGCATTAGTGAGATTGCAGTGCTGAAAAGCAAAGATTAATCCAAGTGTAATGTTTTTTTGTGATAACTATACATGTGGTTTTTACATTATAAAAATACTTTTTATTGGCTGATAACAAGAAAAAGTGACACAAAAACTGGAAAAGCCATGTCATTTGTTATTTCACTTGCTTGTGATATAGCATTAAAAACATTTCTATAGCTGTTCCACAAGGTAACAAATTAGGTCCATGACTATTTTATACATTATCAATGTTTCTGGAGTTTTGCAACACACTGCAAAATTCAATTATTTGCTGATTATAATATATATATATATATATCAAAAAGTATTAAAATAATGGACAAAATCCGCAAAAAGGAGGAAAGTGGATTCGAGCAGAAAATAGGATAGGTAACCCAAGCAATACATATTTCTGCTGGTTGGCTTCATCAGGTCCGAAATGAATGCACATATGAAACTACAAAAATAGATACACATGCCCGCACATCCGGATATGGGTGTAACCTGAGGAAAAGAAGATGGAGAGGGGGGAAAAAACAACACACAAGTCCACAACAAGAGCCAACCTACACATTGTAGTATAAAATGACTAGAAGACCTCGAATTTTCAAGGAGACATCTAACCACAATCACGCTGCCAGTTATAGCCACTTGCTGTGGTACTTCAAGCCCAAAGGATCTACAAAGAAAAAATGATCATGCGGAAAAAGGTATATAACAAAAAGTAAGAAAATAATGGGCAAAATCCACAAAAAGGACGAAAGTGGATTTGAGCAGAAAATAGGATAGGTGGCGTGTTCCCCTCACCATATTCGTTTTCTCAGGTTACACCCATATCCGGACGTGTGGGCATGTGTATCTACTTTTGTAGTTTCGTATGTGCATTCATTTTGAGCCTGATGGAACCAACCAGCAGAAATACGTATCGCTCGAGTTACCTATATTCTTACTGAATTCACTTTTCTCCTTTTTGCGGTATTTGCTCATAATTTTCCTACTTTTGTTATATACCTTTCTCCGCATGATCATTTTCTCTTTATATATATATTATATATAGGGAAAACCAGATTTCTAGTTCTACTAAATCTTTAAATTCGCCATGAAAAAAATTAATTAACCTCAGTAATTCAGCCATTCTTTAACCATCACCTGACTATTACATAATTCATATATAATATATACCTAACATCCCCTTTTTCAGTAGCCAGTTTGATTTTTTCTTCAGCAGCATTCAAATTTGTAACATATGTCTGGTGATGTTTACTGTGATGCAAATTCATGATATCTCTGGATATTATCGGCTCTAGAGCTGCATAATCGTATGGAAGATCTGGAAGAGTGTGTTTCTGTTTTGCACTCCTACAAACAGTTGGATGATTATGTTAGCTAGATAGATAGATAATATTAGTGAGATATATTACCTGACGGCAACTTTAGCGATACGACGAAGAGTATACATTTTTGCAAATTTTAAAAACTTCAACAATCCCACTATTCAGAGGGTAAAAAATTGCCGGCGCAAAGCACAGTGCAAGGATCACAAATGTCACAAATCACAGAACAACGAACAAGACACAAAACAACAGCACATGCGGGGCAGCACAATCAAGAATATGGAAATCCACTAACATTAACGGTAATGTTTGTAATGGTCGCATCCTTGGATTGAACCCACCGGCCTACTCAAGCAATTGGAATACCGATATCCTGGAATTATCCAGTTCTATTATGCTTTTGCCGAAAAAAACACTCTAGGGTAGTACGATGACCATTTTGTTGAGGATTGTTATCCGGGACTCTAGCATCCTTGGCCGTCAAGCACAGAGGCGCAGTGAACCATAGCCTGACAACCATATATGACGTTTCATGGCAGATCAGGATCAGATGACATTGATAGATGAAAAATGTAAGGTTATGCTGTTATCTTTTAATTTCATTTCGATTTTCCCATTTTCCAGTTATTTTTGTCATACTTGGCGGGTAACATTGGGTAGAAATCAATAAAAATAAACAGGATATGTGCACCAAGCTCTCAGATCAGTTAGGAACTCGATATTTTGAATCTGAACCAAATGAATGATTGTTTGAAATAAAAAATTTCATTGTTTGATATACACACATTTCCTCGTATCATCATTACTCTCTTTAATTTATGAACTTTGTTATTTGATCACGGCTTGACAAGAAAACCAAACGCCGCACCATGCTGACGTGTTAATCTGTGCGGTGAAACTGACGTTATGTAAAATTAATACACTGGAACTGGACTACCGGACGTATGTGTATTAAGAAACTGGTGCGGAACACATCAGTTGTAAAGTTTTAAACATTCTCTTGAACGCAATCCGCACGAAACTGCCGTATATCACAATTCTAGTGGAAGATATGTGTGATAAAATGAATGGATTTGAAGGTAAATTTATAAAACATTTTCAAACACCTTTTGTCCTGCCATAATTGCTCATTTACCATGAAATACTTGTTCATGCTTGTTAAAAAGTAACCATAATTCATATATCCAGAAATGTTTTATTAGTGTTGTTTCTTTGTGGGAACATGCTTAGATACTATATCCCATTATATTGGACATGAGTAAAAATATGGTAAAAAATTATTAATTTATTATTTTAGATGATGGTTTCAAGGAGGTTAAAATTCCAGTACCTTGGGGCCACATAACAGGTTTGTATTCTTATTTACAAATGGTATTATTAACTTGTAGTTTCTGCAGTTTAAATTAATGATCATTTAAATTAAATAACATGACTTTTATCTAGTGTAGAAGAAAATCACCTTTCTCAATTTTATTGAAGGTGGTAAAGATTGACTCCTTATTACAGTTCTGATTAAAACTTTAGTTTAAATCAAAATTAAAAAAAAAATTCTTCAATTTACATTCTGTGCAGGCCCTTAAGCATGCTTGAAGGGCAATATAAAGTATTTTACAAAGTGTGTGCATGACAACACTACCCTCAGCTATCTTTTTATAGCCTTAGTCGGATTGACTTGTATAATGAAATGATTTATAAACCTATTGCTCTGAACTATAATATCCATAGTTTTGTTTATTTACATCACATTTTTAGGAAAATGGTGGGGACCAAGGGATGTTCAACCTACTCTTGCAATACATGGATGGCAAGATAACTGTGGCACATTTGATAAGTTAGCCCCTTTGCTTGTAAAGGGAGGATTGAGTGTTTATTGCATTGATCTGCCTGGACATGGGTTAGTAGAATCAGTTATTTCATATTGTCTGTATTTGTTTTTATTCTCATTTATCTATAGATAAAGTTCACCCATGCATATGTATAATTTAGTATTTGTATGTATGCCATTGTGTTAAATATTTTCAGTATAGATAATTAAAATGTTTATGGTAGTTACCTTAAAACCTAAACAGAATGTAATTGAGAATAATAGGCCATGAGGTCTTACTATATTTTAAATGTTTTTTTGTTAGGGTGTCAATACTCAATTTTGAATTAATAATTGTATTTGTAAAACACTAATTCCAAAATGCTTGGTACTGTAAACTGATTAAAGAAGACACAGCACGTTAAAAGACATTATCTAATATTACACCTCACAAAACATTAAGCTTGTTAATATTTTTGTTGGAATCAAACTTTAATACGTCTTATCTATTAAAATAACATAAAAGATTAAAAAGCACATTACTATATTTGCGCATATCTCTCTGTGTTTGTGTTTAATAGTTGTCATAGCTGCTATGCTATACAATGATAACAGGTGTTTTGCTTTTATCATGTACTCTCAGCATCCAAAACGTTTCCATTGATTTTATTAAAAATTACAATATCATTTCAAACCAGTAAAACAATAATTTCCTTTACCTGAGAAGGTCATAATATACGAGTGATTTGGAAGTTTGATACAAACCTGTTAAGGTGAGGTATTTCACCCAGTTTTGAACACATTCAGACACAAGTATGTTAGTACAAAGTCGAACCGTTTTTGAGTTAGGCGCAATTGCTTGAAAATCCAGAAAAAAGCATTAATCATTTGATAAACGATTGCTTGTTCAATAATGAGGTACTTAGTTCTCTTATTATTGCCTTCCTATAAAGTATTTTCCATGTTAGCCAAAGATGGATCCATATTATATGAAATAATTTTAGTTTATTGTATGGTTCGATTTTGCTGTGCATCATAGCTTTGTGAAAAGTTTATGGGAAAATATTCATAGTGTCAATTAATATCATTGAAAAAAACTGTAATACAAAGTGATACAACCATAATGTTTTCAATATCACATAATACTATAACAAAACTATGACATACATTCATAAAAAAGAAGAAGAGGTACATGTGGCTTGATGTGTTCCAAGTGTGGTGACTTTTAAAGATTTGTATTGACCTTCTGATCACCTTGTATTCATATAAATATAATAGTTCAATTAAATAAATATTGCTTATTATTTTAGGTTCTCTTCTCATTTGCCTCCTGGTCAAGTATATTACATTTTTTGGGATGGTATCCATTATATACGACGAATTGTGAACCATTTTAACTGGAAAAACGTAAAGATTATTGGACATTCCCTTGGCGGAGGCATAGCTTTCTTATATGCTGCAGTATATCCAAAAGATGTAGACAGGTATTGCATTTTCTCTGTTTCTCAAATCATCTTGGTACTGTTAGATTTCTCGAAAGCCTTTGATATGGTCAATCACCAGATACTACTGAGTAAGTTATCTCATTATGGAATGTCAGATATAGTTCCAAGGTTCTTTGAGTCATACTTGCTAAATCGTCAACAAACAGTGAAAACTGATAGGGAATTTCCTCCTCTGAGCCAGTTCCTTCAGGAGTTCCTCAGGGCTCAGTATTCGGTCCCTTACTATATCTTTATACTTCATACGATCGATCTGCAAGACTTTTAGTCCACTGTAGTATGCAACCTTATGCAGATGATACTCAGTTAGTGTTTGGTTTCGATCCATCAAAGGTTGATGAAGTTTCTTTTAAAGTTAATTTAGATTTGGCTAACATCAGTGATTACTGTAACAAACACTGCTTGAAGATCAATCCTAATAAAACTACTGCAATGTTGTACTGTTCGAAGAACTCCTACCGTGGATTACGTCAAGAATCTCGGTGTTACCCTTGACTTAAATATGAGATTCGATCGGCATTCTTATCTAGAGTAACACACATTCGTTTGAAACTCCTCTATTCTAATCGATTCATCTTGAATTTTAAAACCCGAAAAAAGCTCGCTGAAAGTCTTGTGTTGTCTGTCATTTCTTACTCTCTTGTTCTTTATTACCCATGTTTAGACTACGTCCACAAAAGGAAACTCTAGAAAATTCAGAACAACTGTTGTAGGTTTATTTTTGGAATGCGCAAGTTTAGTCGCGTCTCAGATAAAATCAAAGAACTCAACTGGTTGCGAATTGATAAGTTATTTTTATATCTTTTGACCGTCTTCACGCATAAAGTTCTATTATCTAACAGACCAGCTTACCTTGCTAGCAAATTAGTTCACCGAGGTAGTTTTGTTACCAGAGCTCTTAGATTTAATGCTAATTTTAACATGCTTCCTCACAATACCTCGGTCTTTGAAAGAAGTTACACCTATAATGCTGTCAAGCATTACAATGCAGTCAACAGTGGCTATCGATCCAAACAGGTTGCTTCTTTTAAGAAATTAATGAAAAGTCAGCTGCTGGAGTCCATTTAGTTCAGTTTTTCTTGTGTTCATGTGCTTTTTTTTTTTGTTTGACTATTTTCTACTATTTTTGTTTCAAATTTAAAACTCTCGCAATACTATCTGCATTTCTCTCGTGCAATCAATGTTGTTATTCTTATGAATTGTATTTTTTTTGGTATGTTATTATTTTGTTTATGTGTTTAAGTATTATTTTTTACCTGTTGTGGGGTTGGGTGTAAGAGTAGCCATCTGGCTAAACTTCGCCTCACTGCAGCTAATAAAGGCATTATTATTATTATTTATATTTATTTTTGAGTCAACTCATTATTAGTGTCCAGAATACACAGGCAATCTCTCAGATTCATTCAAAATACAAAAAGTTGGCGCAATCAGATTATCTCTTTACCTCCCACTATGACTATGATTAAAAAAATCGACCAAATCAATTTCATATGAGATATAAGTCGACCCACTTAGAACAGATTTCTAACAGTCTGAATATAGCTTCCATTAATTTTTTCTTTTTGTTCATGTAGAGTAGTGAGGTAGTAGTCCATTAGCTGCTAAAATGAAAGTGGGACAAATCTCCCCTATTAAAATATTATTAACTACACGCATTTATGACAGAAAAACAATAGATTGAGTCTATTCATAAGACTCAAATGGAATCAAAACCAGACTAGGGTATGTGGTGTGTTATACAGAATGTTTACATCTTCACCTTACTTGTAAATTCAAAAATAATTGTTTCTTTTTCAAATACAAAAATTATTATTTCTCTTTTAACACAGGATGTATGGAAAATATAAATGCCAATTATGGTTGACTGTTGCATTATATTATACATAAAGTTTATTGATGCTTTAGACAGAACATTTGTCTGTGCCATCTTGCAGAAAAACTATATTTGGATGTCAATCTGTGTTATCAGGAAATTCAATTTGCGATAGCAAAACAGGATAGTCCATGTTACCCCATGTAGGAATTTGTATAAACATATGATCGTCGCCTGCTCTCTGCGCTTCTCCAAAGAAGAGACACCTAATCTGTTCAATAATTATGAGTAGTTTTATCCTCTTGGAGGATACACACCATCACTTTTATATCATATATATTTCTGAAATTTCTTTTGACTTTTTCAGTATTATTTTTGTAGAGTTCATAGATAGGGCTCCAAATAATTGCACTGTATTTTGATTTACTTATAACAAGCACTGAAAATGACTTAATAAGCATTGTGATATTGGAACTTCCACAGTTTCTAATAATGAAGCCATATGCTTATAATCTGATGTGGTAGTTAACGGTGAGCTGGAAATCGATATACAGGCCCAAATATTTGAAAGTATCACACCTTTCCAATACAGAATCAATTATGTTGTATGGGTAAGTTAAAAATTTGACTATCCAGGTGAAGATTAAAATGCGGCGTTTAGAGTTGTTCAAATACAAATTGTTATTGATACAACATATTCGTAAAAAAGTATTTGTTGTTTTTACAAGCTTGCCTGCTAGAAACAGATGTGTAAAGCTTTAGGTCATCAGCAAACATAAGCTTGTTGGATGATAATGAACTGCAAAGATCGTTGACATAAGGCAAACAACAGCGACCCAAATTGGAACTTTGAGGTATACCACTACTTGACATGTATGAGTAAGAACTGAATCCATTATAAAACATATTGATTTCTCTACTCCCAAAGCACTCAAAGTAACTGAAACGAAGCTTGGGTGGCTTTTTTTTCGTTTTTTGCTCATAACTCCACCGTCACTAAAACGCCGTGTTATAGAGTGGCCAGACAGACAGATAGACTGACGGCCCAATGGAAGTGAGTGGTATGGTAAATGTTTAGATTTGCATTATTGGAAGTGTGCTTTGTTGCAGATACATCAGTATTGATATAGCTAGTCCTAGCGTCCGGCCTCCGAAGAAAATAATTGATCTCATTGGAGGTGCGGTTGATAAATTTATGGAGTATGAAAAGAAACCTGCAAGAAGCGTGCCATGTTATATATATGATGAGATGCTTGACATAGTATATGATGCCTACAAAGGCACAGTTACCAGAGAAGGTTGTAAAATAATGCTAAGAAGAGGCATGAAACCAGCTTTAGACAAAGAAGGACATTACCTGTTCACTAGAGACCCTAGATTAAAGACTGCGGCACTTGGATTCATGACTCTTGATCAAGTGCTGGAGTTTGCAATGCGAATAAAATGTCCTGTTATGATAATTACAGCAAGTACTGGACTACGTAGCGAGAATCCTGAGAGATATGATAAAGTACTGGAGACGATTGAACAGAGTTCACAGAAGTTTGAACATATCTTTTTCGAGGGTACTCATCACTTGCATTTGAATGATGCAGAATCTATAGTACCATGTGTCATCAAATTTTTGACCTCATGAAACTATAAATTTAGTTAAATATTGCAATGTGATATTTTTTTATATTTCAGTTGGTTATAAGGGGAGTGACTGAATTGTTTTATCGTTTCAGTTATAAATGGAAAAAATATCGTACTTATTTGTCATGTATAATAACGATTATACTCAAAACTAGTGATTGTATAATTTTTGTACAGTGCATTTTTATCATTGTTGGTTTCCAGTGTTGTAAGTCAAATTCATTGTTTGCCATCATATATTGATAATATATTTATCCAATGTCAACACTAGTGATATCGTGCTATTTGCTGTATTATCCAAATTTGCGGGAACTGTAAATAGTAACTATCGCAAACCACTCGGATTGTACACCAATTTGGTAAAAGTTACTATATTCGAGGCGTATGGGTATTTAGCATGCACCATGTACTAAAAACTAAAAGATAAGAAATTATATACTCGAGGTAGAAATTATTTTGTCATTACGTTAATGGACGTGTACATGTAGTTAATTAACATCTGAAACTTCGCGTGGTTGTTTTGCTGATCAATGTAATGTTCTGCTTATGAAATTATCAACAGATGTGGAAATTAGACTTTATCAACGTTTCAGCCACATTGGCAGCCTTTTAACGGTACTTGAGTTAATAGTTAATCAATTTTCGTTTCTACGTCTATAATTTGGGCAGATGGAGATTGATTGCGACGTAGTATAACAATGCAAGCTTCATACATCATATCGACCCCTGCAACGAAGACTATTGTAACTCAATTTTGATTGACCTGAGATATAAGCATTTGAAAATTACTTTCTAATTTTGATCGAAGAGAAATAATAATCTCTATCCGATGCATCTTGCAGATACTATCAATTCTTTTACATCAAGGGTTATGAACGATATTACAATACAAAGTTATAAAAAAAAAATATTTTTGGAAAAATTTTGAAGACTTACTATAGTTTTCGTTGGATCAATTAAGGAAAAAAACACACATACTGTAGATGTAGTAAGATATTTATTGAAATAATACAGTATGTTTTAATATTGTCAATTTGAGTCACTCAAATTATTCTCATCTCCATGTTCATATTCACTATCATCGTTCTCAACTTGTGTATTTTCAGTATTCTGACCTCTTTGTGTTATTTCTTTAGCTTTTATTGAAAAATAAAAAGCATGGTAAGCTTCAGGGATGCTTGGAAGACTGTTTGATTTTGGTTTACATAGATCGAGTAAACCACTTAATTTTTTAGCATCTACTGGAAGCAAGCTTGTATATAGTAAAGGTAACTCCTGAGGTGAATTTTCCTTCATTCTCCTTCTTCGATTTCTCCTCAATTTTATTATACTGAGCTCATCAGCATAGTCATACTTGAATTTCATTTCATAAGGCATGTCTGAGGAGAAGTGTACCTCCCTTAATTTACTAATTTTCAGCTTTTCTCCGGAATCGTCTTTACTCCAGTTTTCCGAATTTACCTTTGACTTGAAACTAAAAAAATCCTTCTGAGACATCTCTTTCACGATGTATGGTCTTCCGGTTACTTTCGCCATGCGAATCAACATAATCCATTGATCGGGGGTATAAATTGCCGATTGCCGCTTTTTGGCATTTTCAATGACGGCGTGCATACTGTCCCCTTCGTTTTGTGTGTGACCTGTTTCTAGGAATCGATGGATTATCTGTAGATTCAGAGCCATAGAAGCATATGAAAACATCGAAAAAATGAAGCGGTTACGGTTTTGTCCACCGCAGTTGTCCGAGTAAAGAATAACTTTGTTTATCCCTTTCTCTTTTTGCTTTTTCAAAAAGTTTAAAATACAGCTGCTTATTTCGTTTGGCCCTCTCTTCGCAATTACTTCATGCCAAACGTAACAATAGCCTTCATGATTTCCCATGTCGTAAATGGTAAAGTTGTATGTGGCGAGTTTACTTTTGTAATAGAAGTCGCTTACAGCAGATTGGGGTGTCACCAGAACTTTTTGTAAGTCGAAGCACGCTGCGCTAATTGTCTTGTCATTGATTGCAGTTTCTTTATCTTCATCTTTTAAAGCTCTAGCAGCTTTCTTATTAGAAACGTGTTTTTCATACTTCTCTTGTATTTTCTGCTTATCTGGCGAAGTTGCTAGTTGATAGGCTACACAGAGACTGCATTGGTCCTTCTTTGGTTTATGGAATGCTAAATCGAACTCGGCATTGATAACTTCTCTGTATTGTCTTAAAGTTCCTACTTCTGTAGCATTTCTCTGTTCCATGTACTTTAAGTAGAGGCGATGCATAATTGAAATGTTGAGACCATCCTCTAAGTACATCTTTGTTGATTTTTTCCTGGTATAGTGGGAAGGCACCACAGGAAAGAGTTGAATGTGCTCTCTTATCCCATTTAAGACACCTCCGTCAATTTTATTTGGTCTTGTCAGGTGCTTCCCTCGACGATCTTCTTCAAGAGTGCCAGTTTCTCCAATTTTTCCTAGAGCAGTCGTCACCCACTGCTCTGATATTCCATAGGTGTTCAGGAACATAGTTTTACAAACCGTTATTTCCTTGTTGTTGACAAGAAGCTGGTATGTTCTAGAATGATTTCGTCTTGATTTGCTATCTGTCCGTTTTACGTGCTTCTTCTCCACTGTTTTGACATACCTAACTATGTAATCCCATTGTCTAGAATGATCACCTATTTTCCAAAACTCCTCGAACAATGCTTTTCTCTCTTCCTCACTTATTTTTTGACGACATTTATTTCTGCAGTTTTCTTTACATGGATTCTTTATCTGTTTGGCGGGAATAATTGTACCTTTCCGGTTTTTATGTTCGATGCCCAAGTTTAATTCCTTCTTAGCTCGAACATCAATCCACTCATTTGTATTTTTTACACGTTTTCTGCCTTTCCTTTCTTTGGGCGTTATCTTACGCTTTTTAGGCACCTGAATTCGGTTTTTGGTTTCATGAGGTATAAATGGCACAATAGATGAATCAGAATCTGTTGTTTCTTCGGGTACATAAATAGGATCAATATCCGAGTCGTCTGAGAAATTTCCTTCCGTATTCGTAATGTCATGAGGTGTATCAAGAAGTACTACTGATGGATCTGTTTGTACAAAATTAAATCCAACTTCTATAGGGTCCTCTGCAGGGTGGTTGCTGGTTGCTGGAAGCAACAGCTGTATCAGGCAAAGGGGCTCGCACATCCTGTACATTGACTACTGCACCAGCATACGCAGATTCCGTAATAAGACAGTTATCTGCACCTACAAAAATAAATACCTGTAAGAATCTATAAGTAGGAGAGAAAAATCAATGTAGGTATAACATGATTCCAATGCATAACAGGCAAATGTGGATACTAAGCATGAACCAGAAAGAAAGAATTAATTACCCATGTTAGAAAATAATAAAATAATTACAAGACAAACTTACCTGAACCTGATGCATCATTTAGCTTCTTTGCATTTTCCAAAATGACTTTGGTCCTAGAATTCATTCTAGTTCTCTATATTTATCTATTTTCAGACAGCTACTACTTAAAACGTTTTGGGTTTAAATAATCATAACCTCGAATTATACCGCGAAGATTATAGTATGTCCAAACATAGAATGCCTACCGCGATTTTTTGCATCGAAAACTATAGTAACTCAACTTGATGTACTTTTCGCTGACAGCAATGTGAGTGATTATACTTACTATAATTCACGAAAGTTATACTGGTTGCCTATGGTTTCATAATTGAGATACTATATTCTTCCTCGAACGAGAAGCATAATATATCTATCGATACCTTATAGTAACTCAAAAGTAAGGATTTTTGAGTTACTATAGTCTTCGTTGCAGGGGTCGATATGCTATATGCACTGCAATCAATGTTTCTCTACACTAAGCTGTGCTGTATGCAAAGGGGAAACGTAACATAATTTAATTTATTTGCTATTTATGGTTATTTATTTATAGTCTGGCTGAAAGTGACAACTTTTTGACAAAGTAACTCCTTTTCCATTGGTTCAACCAAGGTGTATGTAATTCAGTAGTATCAGCCTGGTAGAAGTACAAGTGTATCTATATAACGGAACGGTTAGTCAGAAGTGACTTTAAATATGTGATAGACTTGTAATATTGTTAGTGTAGTCAATAAACTGATGTTAAAAAAATGTCTTAATTACTTTTTAACTGACTCGATCGCCGCGCATAACGTGGACAAAAAGGGAAATAGGTAATTCTCTACCTTAACTACACCAACCGTTTTTGGTGAAAAAATGATTTCAGAGCCTAATTTTTGGATATAGTTGAAAGAAATGGGACCGAAAATGACCACAAACATGAAATATTTTACTATATAATGCGAGTCCCACACGATGCTTCCAACGTTGTGTACAGCGTTGTTTACAACGTTCGACGCCCTAAAATTGACAAGTGTGTCTCCTACAATACGATGGAATGAACGTTTAAGTCTCCGACGTTCGACGCATGGTGGCGCCAACGTCTAATGTCTGTATCAGTGTCGCGCTTGAACCTTTAGAACTGAAGGAAAAATGACACAAAATGAACGATGACAGAATTTTTCCGATCGCCGAAAAATAATTTCATGTCTTTCTTCAGCGACAAAAACTTAAGTCTCTCAGAAATGTCGAAAAACAAAGTTTGACCGTTTTTTTATTGGTTTTCGACGATAACTCCGCCGCCACTGTACCGATTTTCAAAAACTGCAGAGCCTTTTTCGTCATTTTGATAGTAGTAATCTAGGTTCAAAATTTCATCAAAATCCTGATAGGAGAGTTATCATTTATTTAATTGTTTTCGTTAGTTATGAAATGCAAGTCACTATATTTCTGAACTAGTCTTGCATTGCAACAGCACATTATAATGAAACAACTGTAAGCACTTGATAATTTATAATTTACTAAAATACATATCCTTGGGCCAGCCATAACTCATCTGCTAAACGTACAAAATATTAGCAATATGAAAAGTGTTATGTATACTAATTTAATGCATTCTCGTCAAAAGTTAGATATGGAACATACATTATTATGAATGGGTAGGTATTCAAATCAAAGTACTTCCTACATGCCACTACTTCACCACAATCACAGCAAACAAGGAAATAATGTTTTTCGCCGCTACTGGTTCTATCGTAAAACCATCAAACACATGATATCTCGTGTGAGAGCGTAACGAACCATGGTTCCAACGTTGTAATGTCCTTTGACGCAAGTCAAATTTACAGACAAGAGCCCGAACGTGCTATGTGGCGAACGTTGGACACATGCAATTCGTCAGCGCTCTCCCACCAATGTGGCGAATGGCCATGTGTCCACCGTTGTAAGGCATTCGCCACATCGTGTGGGACCGGTTTAAGGCTTAGGCCGCACTACGACTAAACCGTCGTGGATTTTAACCGCCTGATTTTGTGAGTAAAGTAGTGTGTTCGTCTCGGGTGGTTTTCGGTTTGTTGGTTTACCGCTTGCGGAAAAAAACCGTAGTGCGGCCTAAGGCTAATATTTTTTATTGAATGTTTGTTTTCAAAGACTGTGCCAGATTTTATTACTTCACAGGTTTTCATGTTGATGGATATTTTTAATAATTAAATTTGTATGTATGACTTTGAACTCCACACAACCCTACATAACGTCTAATGCACTCGCGCAACAATAGTCTGCAACTAACCCATTTGCGAGCATTTTTAATCTCATTCCCATCATTTATAACCCAAACCTAGTGCCTATTCGGACGGAAAAACAAAAAATGCTGATGTAGCTAAGCTCGAGAAATTACCTTCTATAGATTTTCATACCGAAGATCTTTTATCACGAATTTCATTTTCATTTAGAAAAAATATTTTTTGGATCCGACGCATAGTAACGGAGATAATCGAAAGGATCCGAATCGATGTTTTTTTAAATAGCATAACCTCAAAAAGTTCGGAATATTATAAAGTTTATTTCACAAGTATCCATCTCGGTAGAATGGCAGCTGATTATCTAGTAATATCTCAAAATTACTCATATCGGCACTGAACATATAATTCTGACGGATCCGTCAACGTCAGGTAGTCAGAGACGTATTTTGTTTTGTTTTTTGTACGCTACAGATTCATTTTGTAGTTGCTAAAAGCTCCTTTATTTAGAAAAGTTCATTTGCATACAAAAAACAAAACGCTACAAACAAGTTTTACTAGATTTATATCCGATTCGTTATTGCTAACGTCGCAGGCTAACACAAAAATGTCACTTGCTGATCAGCTGTTCACCTGAGCAGACGTCAAAGCCAGTGTTGCCAGAGCGAAGTTTAAAATATCCGTCACACGTATCGCAAAATTCCGCTACATGCCGCTACGGTCTAAAAATTTAAGGGGGGGAGGCTTAAAATAAACAACAAATATATTTTTTACATATTTACTTTTTTTTAAACACTGTCTAAAAACCCTACTAAAAATACAAACAGCAACATAATATAATTGCAATTTTTCGTAAAAACATAAAAAGTATACCTCTAAAAAACAAAACTGTCTATGGTTTAGAATTAGGAACTAATAAAAAAATAGAAACTATCACAAATATCTTAATCTTAATAGAAAAAAAAAACAAAAAATAAGGACAAAGAAGAAGCGGAAACGTGGAAATGCCTACGTTTGCTTATTTTATTCACAGTCAGAATCAGAAATTACTTCTTCTTCAGCTTGTTCTTCATTATTTACATTATGTAAATTCTTTTTATATTTGTTTAAATGATTCTCATTAAAACTATAGGATAAACAGCACTGTTTTTTTGATTCCAAGTCTAATTTAATTGTAAGTAGTGCAGACAAAGTTGATGGTATTATATGGTATTATTTTATTTCTTTTTTTTTGTTTTGTAATCAAGCATATAAGAAAAAGTTCGCTCAACATCAGCGTTTCCATGAGGCAATGTTAAAATGATTAGAGCCAGTTTACCTATATTGCGAAATAAATATTCGTCATTAAAATTTTTGAGGTCGTTTACAAACAACCAAAATTCAATGACATTACTTTTTGTTTTTAAAATTTCCTCTTTCTCACTATCACTAAAATAAATACATATTTTCTTTAGTTCCAAAATTACCTTCTCGGTTTCAATATGAAGGGCAAATTTTTTTAAAACGGCGTCATGAAAGGTATCACTTATAATAAGACGATTGTTCATCACATCAACCGGTGAGAGAAACTTTAGCTCTGAAAAGAAGTTGTCTTTGATAGGAAATCTTGTAAGGGACTCTTCTACCGATTTTTGGTAAAATGTGACACATTGTAATTTAAATTGTTCGATTGCCCTGTTATTGCAGTGTTTTATTGCATCCATTGTATGCGGACCAACATTCACTTGTTCAATTGGTAATAAGCAGTGGGGATCATTAGGATTTAGATTATATAATTTCTCATTTTTAAAATATTCTGGTCGCATAAAGTTTGTACATAGATGACGTACAAATCGCTCACTCTCTATTGATATGATATTGAGCATAACTTTCTCTGATTGAAAGAGAGCATTAAATTAGTTAAAAATGGGCAACACGAATTTAAAAAACATTAAGTACGCCTTAACAAATGGATTCTGTAACTCATTAAGTATTACATTTGCTACAGGATTTTTACCTTGTTTTACTAGGGCTTAAAATTTTTAATTTTGACTTTTTGAAGTATTCCTGTAATTCTTCAAGAACACACTGCCTTTTTGGGCTTCTTGAGAAGTAAGAATGTAAGTTTTGTAAAAGAGCTTCAACGTTGCTTGGAATCTTTTCAGCTGCCGCCACCGCCACTAAATGAGCAAAGTGGCAAATGCAGCCATTGACAATTATATTAGGATTATCTTTTAAAAGATAAGTTTTGAAAAATTCGTTATTGCCCATCATAACACTAGCGTTGTAGGAACAGTATCCAACAATATTGGTAATTTTTACTTGATTGGATATAACCACAGCCGACGTCAACTACGAGCCGTGATGAAAGAAAGGCAACACCGCGCTCGGACGGCATGGTAGTGCTACCTGTGAACGTCGGCCGGCTGCGGCTGTGTGCTCCGTCTCCGTGTAACGTTCAAGAACTAAATTTAATTTTGGAAAAGAGGACAGTTCGATTCAATACAAATCATCTGAATATGAAATAGCTCTAAAAAATTTAAAAATACGAAATAATCGTGATATATATGAGTCGCTAATGCAGTTAACCTAATTAAAAGTATTTAGTTTACGTTTTTCTTTGTCAGCACACTGTGTTCCAACAGGCCCAGCTTGGAAATGTGGAGTTACCTGTTTGTTTTTAATACATTTACTTTCAGTTTTACTGTTATTTTTCAATTTTTCATAATCATTCAAAATCATGTTTAAAAAAATAGACAAAAGCTTAGATAAAATATCTGCATAATTGCGGCCACAGATGCAAGTTAAAGAAAATTCACTGTAAATAAAGTCAGACTGAATGCTGAGCAAGGTTAACTGACAAAATAAATTTTTGATTATTGCTTTTCAAGAAGAAAATTTCCAATCTATCTACATTAATAATAGATTCAAAAATGGCATACATATGGTAGAATATGATTGGTACATAACTGGTTGGAATTGACAGTCCTCCTCTTTGCAAATAATCAAAATAAACATTTGTTGTTAATGAACCTTTTTCTTTAACTATTAGCGATTTGCCTATCTCGCAGTTTAAGTTTTTAGAGATAGCGTGTGAAGCATATCCAGATATATAAGTCTTAGTACTATCCTCTATGTCACAATTGGCTAAGTAATTTGTCTCAAATAATTCATTGAATATATCCAAAACTTCAGGATTTTGTTTGGTATCCAAGAAATCAAAATTTTCTTGAGTTTCTAAGCAGTTTTGGAACCTTGTTTTAATTTCTGCTAAAGAAAATGACGATTTCTTTTCATTGAAAATATGCTTCAGCCGTATTTTCTTTTCAGCATTTAAAATTTCATCATATGACACATTGTAATTGCAGCCACATAAAAGTCTATAATTGCCAAATCGTTTTTCTAAATTATCAGTGGTGAATTTTCCAGGCAATACATACTCAATGTCAAATTGATTAAATGAATATTCAATTATATTAAGTAGAGTCAGCGTGCTTTGATATAGAGCTGTATACATTTCTGGTGTCAGGTGTCCATTATTATTCTCTAGATTATGCCATTTTTCTAACCATATCAGGAATTTTTTAAAAAATTGTACTCTATAATCATATTTATTGGTAATAGGCTTACAAAATTCGTTTCGCTTCAATTCTCCTTTTATTAATATCCCACCAATTCCTGATTATTTCCAAAAAGTGTGCAGCATCATTAAACTTTAATTCCTTCATAGCAGCTATTGTTGAGTGATGGAATAAATTATCTACAAAATTTACATTTTGCCTTTCAAATGAATTTGGATGCAATGTTTTATAATTTAATTTATATGCTTTCTTAACTACAGCTTCTTTTTCCAATTGATATACAGCACGAATGTTTTCAAATTTAGCATACTGAATAATATCAGTATTGTCAAAATTAGGATATACAAAAGTTTTGTCTAGGTTTTTTAAATTAATCCAATTATTTATGATTCTGAAAATATGCACAACATCATAAGTTAAATATATGTTCTTATCAGGATTATGTGGATTTGGAATAGAATAATTTTCTGATGAATCCTTTGCTAATTTCCTGAACATTGCTCTATTAATTCGGTGATTATCAGTAACAACACAAATAACTTCAAATCCACATTTTTGAACTAAATTTATCACATGTTCAACCGAAGGTGTCATTTCATCACCTGTTAGATTTGAAACTGTTAGTAATTTGATAATTTCTGTTATGTTTCCAAATGCTGAAGGCTAAAACAGTTTTAGCCATGTCATTTTTATTTGAAATTTGAAAAATACAACCAGAATTTGCACGTTTTCAATAGTTGAAATCCTTAGCGTCCTGAGGCGCGAACAGCCACAGTCACACTTCTTAGTTTATTTTTAAAGCACAGAAGCACTACAACTGGAGTCTATTTCTCATATATTATAGTCACCGATCACTTTGAACACATACACACACTTTGAAGTTTAGAAAACAAGCTTATCTCTTAATTACAGCCTCTGCGATTCCAAAATCACAAATTGAAAAGGTTATGTTTTCTCAGCGTTTTGAGCGGCGGGAGTAACACTACCACCTACGTTGCCAGATTTCTTTGTTCACGGCTCGTAGTTGACGTCGGCTGTGATATAACGCATTTTTTAAAAAGAGAATATAAACCTTTGACGGTACCTTCATCTGCGTTTATTTTGATTATATCTAATAAATGGGTTTTAATTAAATTTTTATGAATATACCTTACAAGAATGCATAGTAGTCTTGTATTGCTCAGGTCTGTACTCTCATCCAATAAATGGTTTATTTTCCAATTCTGAAATTATTTCGTCTTTAATAACAGTAGCCAGCACATTTTTAATTTTACTTATGCATTTGGATCTTTTTAATATAAGTGAGCTAGAGAGATCTGGGTCTTTAAAACGTAATTGACTAACTACTGTTATATGATCAACAGTTCTAAAACTTATATAATGACTTACAACTAAAAGACATCTTAAGCAAGCAAATATTTGCCGTTTTTCCAACTCACGTGCTTCCCGAGACTGAAAAGTGCTATCTAACGTTCTTACATTCGAAATTGCTTGTACATTAGTGGCATGCCTTTTTGATTTCGAATGAATCACTAAATCTGATTTTTTAGCACCCATTATTTGATTACAAGCTTTACATTTTGCTTTCAACTTGTCATTTTCAATAGGTCCCAACCAGCCTTTAAATAACGGATCTTCTAGCCATGGTGAAGTAAACATTTGTTTTCGTGTCTTTTTCTTAACAGGTTGCTCTGGCTCTTGGTTATCCTGAGATTCGCAAGTCGAATTATCAGGCTCAGACCTGATTCCACTAGATTCCGCTCTTCTATTTTGTCTGTATTCAGGTTCGGGATGCTCCGAGTCCGACACAGATGCAGTCGAAGTGGATGGTACGGCCACGTTTGGATTCACAGTTTGTTTTTTAGAAGGATTTTTATCAAAAAAATCGTTAATGGTCTGCTGTCGCCTTTCCATTATTCCTATTTTCCAGAAGAAAAAGCGTTAAACACAAATTTCGCGACTAAGATTTATTTCTGGATCAAACTATAATATGTTAGATATTTAAGCAGTTTTGTTACTTACCAGTAGATTCAATATGAAAATCTGCAGCAAATGATATATCAATAAAATGATCAACACAAAAATAAGAACACTAATATAAACGAAACTAAACAGTATATACCCAGAGCTGAAAAATACAATACAAAGCGAGAAACCTAATATTATGTCTGCCTGCTGAGACCTGTTAGAAACGATTAGTATTGAAAGCAGTACGTACGCCATCTGTTATTGAAAAAAAAAGGCAAGTGGAATAATTCTCCTCTCTGTTCCTAGATGGCTCAAGCGGCACCAAATGCACCAATTTTATTATTAATGTGATAATAAATCAGACTCTAGCCACTGCCTATTCAGGATTTAGAACGTTATTAACGCTAAAACAGTGAAATAAATATGATAGTTTTGTATGTAATAAATTCCGCTACATTTTGGGCTAATTTGCTGTACCGCCGCTACGCCGCTCTTCTCAAAATAATCCGCTACAAATAGCGGAATTCCGCTACGTATGGCAACACTGGTCAAAGCATGTGCGAAATAGGGTATATGGTATATGTGGTGTTATGGGCCTACCACACGCGCAAGCTTCACCACAGTTTTACCTGCGCAGGCCGGTTTGAACATGGAACCCTGTGCGTGTGGTTGGCGTTCCGTTGGCTTGTGCAAAGCTCGCAACGTGGCTTACGCGAGTTTTGATTTGTTTGAAATTCTCGATCGTTTACGTTTAGACTTTAGCAGTGTATTGCAGTGTATTTTTCTTCATTAGGAAACATTGTTTCCACGACTACGATTTTGACAAGAGTGTGGCTTGCGCGTAATCGACTATGCCGTGTGGGAGCCACGTCCATGTTCAAGCTTCACCACAATCTTGCCTGTCAATAATGAGGCTCGTCAATAATTCCATTTCAGTCTAGAACAAAAACAAACTGCAGTACATTTTGCAAAAATTTTCAATCTACAAGTAGAACAGCATAAATGAACACAACTAAGCACAACAACTGATGAAAATGCTTGGGTTAAACTTGTTTTTGTCAACCAATTATCATCTCATCTAATTATCACAAAACATCAAGGGAATATCAACACAAAACATGTAATTCCTTATCAGGTAGCGCTTATATCAGCTATTTTACTGCTACAAATGCGCAGTAGGCGTCTGCTCACTTTTAGCAAGATATTTAGAACAGGTTCTAAAAAATTTAGCACTCAATTTGTTCATACAAAATTTTGTACTAAATGCTGTCTAACTCTATACTTAATCTTGTATGAAATTTAGCGCAAAATTTCATATTGTGACAGACGGTCTTTAGACTGTTTTCTAGTAATTCAGTTGAGTGATTATAAAGGGAGTTTCTCATACAAATTTATTGAATTAAACATATACAGGTAAATAGCATCTCCATGTCTTTACTGGCAGAGCTGGATCAGCTTTGTAATTATCTGAAATATGTTTCCAGTGAATTTCTGTAGGACTGTATATGGCTTTGGATCGTAGATTAGCCTTCACAGTTTCAAGTTCCTGTGCAAATAAAGTTATCATGTAATTATACATAGACAAAGAAGATATATATAGTGTCCAGAAATTGAAGAATAATCGTGCAGCTGCAAATAGGTCACGCCATGCATGACCTACTAAATAACAAAATTTTGTCTTATAAAATGTGTTTAGTTTTTGAGTGATATCCGCTGTGTGAGAAAATTAATACTGAATATGCTGCCAATAAAATATATCTATTAGCTGTGCCCGACGCGTTGTTTACATGTTGTCCTTTCTGATGACAGGTTATGTTCAAAGTTCTAAATTACGATTTTTTATGTTTTCAAAAACTTCGAGGAGAATTACGGGATATCACCACCGCGCCTGTGTTGTGTGTAACTACTGTTAGCAAGTTAGCATGTATATGGCTTATAATTCGACAGTGTACAGTGAATATAATTATCATGTTTGAAGCTCAGCAAATTTGCATATTATGTAATTTCCAGAATGGATAAGAAAAAGTAGATGCGCAATTAACGTCTAGCTTTGAATCTCAAGTAAAGTGTATTTGATACAAGAATGCAATGGAATTATCATCAACACATATTATTAGCACACAAATCCTTACTATGCACCTACACCTATGCATTGCTTTCTCCTTCTAGCTATAGTATATGTACAACTTGCAGCTTAGACATCCAGTAATGCCATCTCTGAAGCAGATTTTCCTTCACATCAGAGCCACACATTGATAACTGAAGCCTCATGACGTGTAGGCAACACGTACAACTACAAAACGAGTTCACAATGTCCATCAGCTAGTGCTAGGTTGACATCTTGTAGAAAAACCTACATAATGTCCCAAAAAACAAATACAATGTCAAAAAAATCGACATAAAGTGACTTTTCAAGTGCGGCACGGCTGAGGTATTATGTAAAAAACGTCAACCTACGAAATGTCATCTTGCAGAGTAGGTAGTTTTTAGTGTGCATTCCACGTTTACTCGCTATGAACGCTGATGTTTAAGCAACATGTAAAGCTACAAAACAAGCTCAGAACAAAGTGTGCTAAGTTGAAATCTTGTAGAAAAATCTATGTTATGTCATAAAAACCTACGAACTATTACTTTTAATCACACAAAATTTTGCAGGATTAGCCTTCAATTTCTGGACATCATGTAGGATTGATGTTTGAATAAATAATTCTATGGAAACTATTTACTTTTAATAACTGGCTGTTTCTCCTTTTAACCTCTTCTCTTGAAGGTATATTATCTTCTTCGACGTTATTTCTTTCCTTTATGTATTGTTTGTTAGATCTAAAAAATTATACATTTTTTGCGTGTAAAATTCAACCATCAATACTCACCCAAACTTCAACTTTTCATCTATTCTGCTTTCTTCATTTTTGTATTTCAACAAAATTTCTTTAACCTCAGGAGTCGATATGATTTTCATTATTAATAATAATTTGAAGATAAATATTACTAAGGTGACCTGTATCGCTCTGTATGAACTGTATTAATTAATTTTTAAATATAAACATTGTTACTATGGAAACGCACCGAAAAGTAACTACCAATGATAGGGCACAAAACATATGCTTGTATAGCCGCAATTTTTTATCGTGTGCCATGGTTATCATATTGTGCACTTACAACATCCCATTATTTCCCATTGTCCCAAGAGTTGCATCCCCAATATGAGGGGCGAACAAAGCTGCAGAAACCCAATAATGGTCGCTCTTTGTACAAATTACATCAGTCCCCTAGCACTAGAGTACGTTTCATCCATTAAACTTTCACATTTGCTAGCAGTCCAGTTCTATGTTTTTATGTTTTGTAGTTCCATCACTGCATATGGTTTATGGCAGGGGGTGAAACGCCTTAAACCGCTCCCACACGATATGAATACCTACCTATTCATAATAATGGATGTAATAACTTTTGAGAAGAATAAATTAAATTAGTATACATACAAAACATAGGCTGTCATAACAGGCACTTTTTTCATATTGCTAATATTTTGTACGTTTCGCAGGTGAGTTATGCCTCGAGTAACGATATGTATTTTAGTAAATTACAAATTATCAAGTGCTTACAGTTATTTCATTACAATGTCCTGTTGCAATGCGAGACTAGTTGAGAAGTATATTGACTTGCATTTCATAACTAACTAAAAAAATTAAAGAAATGATAAGTCTGAAAGTACTATCACGATTTTGATGAAATTTTGACCCTAGGTTACTACTATGAAAATTAAAAAGCAGTTTTGAAAATCGGTACAGTGGCGGTGGAGCTATCGTCGATAAAACAAACAAAAGACGGTCAAACTTCGTTTTTCGACATTTTTGAGACTTCTGACAGACATAAGTCTTGATCGCTGAGGACAGATCTGACATTATTTTTTGGCGCTCAAAAAAATTGTTTCATCGTTTATTTTGTATAATTTTTCCTTTAGTTGTAAAGGTTCAAGCGCGACACTGACACCGATAATATACGTTGGCACCACCATGCGTCGAACGTCCAAGACTAAAAAGTTCATCCCATCGTGTAGGAAACACACTTGTCAATTGTGGGGTATCGATCATTGTAAACAACGTTGTATACAACGCTGGAAGCATCGTGTGGGACTAGCATTATGGGCGAACTAGCAACACCAACACCAAAATCGAGGTAGCTGTATTACCGGCATCACGTGACGTGCTGCTTGCCAAGCATCGGGATTTTTCGCCAAAGTGGCGATTTGACGGCTTCAAATGGATAGCTTGGCGATTGGCTGCTTTAATGGCGCCCAATATCCAGCAAACTGGCGATATCTGGCTTTTTTAAACATTTCTGATACCAATTAATTTGTAATCAATTTTTGCTGATATGTGTATACAGGGAAAACCAAATTTGTCTGACGGCTTGAGTTCAATATGTACAAGAGAGACGCGCGAGAAGTGTGTATCAATACGTTAGAAAGAGATAGCAGCTGGCTGAAAAGTCATCACATTGCCTAGCAACGGTGACGCAGAAGCTGTGCAAGCTTCCTCGTTATCAAAATGTTACATCAGATAATGTTGGCACATTCTTCTACAATAGGTTAGGTTACTGTCTAACCTGCGATGGATGGTTAATAAAACTCACTAAAAAATCCACTACATATATTCGCCGACAACAGTTCCTCCAAAGTCCCCGTTGTGCGCAAACTATCCGCAAAACTGTTCACTGCACGCACGGGAAATTCATATGGTCGGAACAAACCCAAGAAGGAGGCCTACTCGAAGCACGGCGACACTCCCCTCACGGAGGTGGAAACCTTGCCTTGAAATGTACAATGTACGGTGTTATCAAACGGACCAATGATTCAATGTTGCAGGATTTATGACGATCCTGACCTTTCATTCCCACCTAAAATGTAATGCTATTAGAGTCGATCCGGAATCGATCCTAAAGAGATTCGAAACAATTCACAACGTTTAACTCAAATTAAAACTATTATTTGGACGTAGAGAGTAAACTAACGCATGTTTTTAACATGCACCTTAATTCAAGGAACTGGTGTAACAGCGAGGCAGACTGGCGCGTCAGCGTTAATAGGCAATGCGGTGATGAGCTTCTCTAACCAGCCGGCTTCTATATCTTTCTAATATATGTGTCTATAGACATTCTCTCTCGAACACATTGAACTCAAGCCATGAAAGGAGGACCAGCGGAAGTTCTGTTATCTAAGAACAATGGTCAAATGTCATGTAAGGTGTCGTGTTCCGAGCATATCAACGACATCCCATTCTAACACTTTTGACACAGTCTTGCTTGATGCAAGGTTATTAAAATTTTTGTACGATAACCGGGAAAGAGAGAGCCACCGCCCCCCACCCCTGCAAAAAAAATAAAATAAAGGACACTGGGGAAAGGTAAATACGCAGAAAATTATTGTCTCCCCAGTCTTCAATTTTCAATAGTAAGTAACCCTCCTCTCCGTTTTCCCGTTGTCTCAACATAACAAAAACATTCGGCAGAAGTCCTGCCACCTCAAAATGTCCGTCTGGATTCGCCCTCGGTGAACGCACTTATAGTTTCGTGAATATTACACGTGTCTAACAACCCCCCATCCTGACCGCCCGCTTTCAATGGATTCTTGGAGTACTATTATGCCTAACCCCCACAACCCCGCTCTTCAGTTATCCTCATCAGCCAAGCTATTTAGGCGCTTACTTACTCCACCTCCCGGACGACAAATTCATTCCATTCTCTAACCTGGAGTTTCATGGTTAGACTCCTAGTTAATTTTCACTTTTAAGGATTGGCAATTTCTGCGATTTTCTCATCAAAACTTGGCGACCAACGAGACTGAAAACCTGACAACCCTGGGGATTCTCTATCTTTATCTGAATGAAAAAATATCAAATATGGCGTTTGTTTTGGTTAATATCCAAATTATCAACGCTAATGCTTTTAGAGATATTTCGTAAAATATGACCATAAAATATAAAGCAACACTATCAGTAGCTGCGATGGTATACGTGAAATGTATTGTGGGAGATGCAGAAGTTCAGGATACTCTATCATGTCATAAATTGCTACAGTTAAGCTGAGAACTTAACATATCGGCATGATGTATTTGGTAGATTATTTAAAATTGCATGTCTGTATTCAGCCTCTCATTGAAGTGAGGCACTTGTCTTTTCCAACAATCAACATGAATTTGAAATAAATCTATCTATATTTTCATGTAATACAATTTTTATACCAGTGTCAACAGCATATGAATATTTTTTGAAACTAAATAAATTTGGTGCTTGATAATTAGGATTGGATTTTATTATTCTGAACCTTTTTCTCAGCAAAACTGCTCAAAGAGATATTACCCTTATTGGGGATATTTTTTTGAAACTATGTTCATAAAAAAAACCTTCAATATCGGAAATATAATTTTCAGCAGATTTTAAAATATGAACAAAGGAAATCTAGGGCACATTCATAGGCTAGCATTCCTTATTCCAGACGCATTCTTTCGATAGTTCCTCCAGGCAACTAGGCGGCGCAACCATCTGACAAACGCCAAAGGTGTTGAAATTGTTTAACGTGTAGCTCCCACTTCTTCAGTCTCATGTGTTTTGTGGTTTATAGGTTCCATGATCCATGATCCATGCATCTAGTTCCATGCCATGTGGAAAATTAATGTTTAGGGTTTAGGTCACAATTGAAGTTTTTTTTTGACAACCTTGGTAAACTCAATTAAATAAAAACTATAGAAAATATAATTTTAGGACAAAATAGTTAAACCAAATGGAAATGTATGTTCCTGCCATATGAATTATCGATCTTAGCAACATATTTATGTCTTTGTATTACAGAGTAAGCTCAAACTGTGCTTCCTTGAGCAATTATGAGGTTTTTGAACATTTGCAGAAAGTGAAGGATTGCAGACCCAAACATAAAGGACAGTTAGCAACTATAACATATGAAGTAATCCTTACAATTTCATCAATACAAAAATTTACTTCACTCATTTCTTCCAGACATTACGATATTTGGAGAATACCCCATGCAAAGAGCAAACAGCACAAAGTATAAAAGAATGCATAAGAGAATTGGCTCCTTTCAAGCTGCATAAAACCGAATTATTGATGATTATAAATAACCCACCAATAACACCATTAGAAATACAGTTTGTAAGTACTGATATGTTACAAGGTGAACAAATTGTCTACCTATTATATGCTCATATTTTATATAGTTGGCTACAGCACCATTTATAAGACATTTGCCTTTTCAACATAGATTCCTAATTATTGTGAAGAGAACTGCAACAAATTCTCACAGATGACGCACTAGTATCTCATTTCATCTCAGATAAAATTTCTTTGACATTGACAGTATTAGTAGAGCAGGTATACCAAGTGAAGACAGACAAGGTGAATAAATTTTGAGAAAGATAAGAGATGTAGCCCACAAGATTGCCACAAAACAGCTAATGACATTTAAACATATGCTGTTTTTATTTGGCCAGAGATAAATGTGTTGACCATCACTTGTAGTGAAAACATTTATTCAAATTTACTTTTATTGAACATTTATTTTTTATTCAATAAAGTTATAAATCAGTTTTTGTGAATGCTGTACATTATGTATTCTCAAAACCTAAGTTATTATGTAGCTATTTAACTTTTAGGGCCCTATGTGGAATGGGGGGTGAAAACGTAAAAAATAGAATTTTCTCAAACTTCGTTTTTGATGTTCTAGTTTCTGAAATTTTTTGTAGGGGTGGAAATTCGGAGGATCTAGGGATTTTCATATATGTATGTGTATGAAAAATTTTTGATTTTAATATGTTGATACGCAATTCTATTGATCTATGGGCCATATTTCATACATCATACATCTGCCGCCTGAAAACATGATGCAGTAATGTTTTCAATCCGCGTACCCCTGCTTAAGCTCACCGCCTGGCGAACTGAACATATACAAATACACGAAACACGCACGAGATCAACAACTCGCAGTAACTACCAGTAGGACAGGGAATAGATGATGAATGAATTGTATGAGCCTGTTTGATTGACTTCATCAGTTTATGTAATTTCTCTATTGTACATGTTCATAACTGAGTTTTTTCTCAGAGGATTTAAATTGCACTGAACTTGAATCCTTTATGCACTGATCACATTTCATACAAAGTGCAAAGTGAACCTATTTGACACCACTTTTCTATCAATAGTTAGAATAAAAAACTTTACTATTCCATGAATTTTTGCAGATTGTTGAAGAGAGTGAAGAGAGGCTTACAGAGGATCAGGTACAAGAAATTCTTGCTATTATAGCCAAGCATTTTCCTCATGTAATTAAGACACCACCAGATGAAGATGAACAGTCTGAATAATCCAGTACATTGTTTTATTTTTTACAATTCATATAATAAATTAAATATATAAAGAATCAACGTTTTTGATCACCCAAGTCTTCAATAAGGTCTTCATCAATCTGAAATTGAAAATGCACGTATTTACAAAAAATAATTTAGGAATACCTCAGTCTCTTCATTAATATTAAAAAAATACAAATAACAAAAGCATGTTTGCTACAAACACAAATTTGTCAACATTGTATCATTTTGTTTTACTTTGATAGATTGTATGTAGGTGATCTTATTTGGTAAAACTCTTTCATCGTACTATTGTGAAGCTTTTACAACAAACTATTCAATAGCATTTCTTATTTTTATCAAGAGGCAATTTTGTATGTAAATGTTTTCAGAAAGTTAGGATTTTGAAAAATGTTGCCAGACAATTTAATGTTACTACAAACAGTGCATCTGAAAAATAATAAATCAGTAAATTATTTAAAAATAATGAAACATAAGTTTAAATTGTATTCACTAACATAAAAATTACAAACATGGCAATATGCACTTTATGAAAAAAGTTTAACAGAAAGGGGAACTACATTCAATTCAATCAATAACAGTGAAGATCAGCAAAGACATAAATTGTTGTGGTATAGAGCATACAAAGAATAGTAAAATTTAATAACCATAATTACAGAACAAGGGTAAATATTCTGTATTTTGGTTTTTAGTCTCATTATGTAAAATATATGTGATGCATATTTGACATTGTCAGATATTTTGCTTTTCACAGCAACTACCTGGGGAAAATGTGTAGCCAAGGGGGTGACATTTAAACTACTAAGAGGTACTTCAAACTATCCGCTAAATAATACTTCCATTCCATCGATCTTGAAACAAAGAATTGTATAGACTGTGAGGGTAACCGTTGTGTTTGGAAGCTATAATTTTTGTTTGATAACAGGCCAAAGTAGTAGCATTCATCATATGTTCAAAATAAAGTATAATGTTTTACACTATTTTGATGGTTTATACCCACAATTTGTTGATTTGATTAAGATTTTTTTATCGGATATTGAAATTCCAAATATTGTATATTCACCCATACATATACAAAAATATGAACTTACCTCAGGCCATTTCTCTGGAATAACATCAAAAAGGTCATCTTTGACATCACCTTGGATCACAATCTCATCCTCGCCAGTCACTGAAGAACCACAGGCAAATTTTGTTCCAAAAAACTTTGCAGCTACCTTCAGGTCAATATCTATAGAAAAGAAACAATTACATCTTTGAATTCATTTATGAAAATCGTTCACTTACCGAAAGTGCTCAACCCTGTTACTACTGTGACAGACTTCTTTTTGCCTCTGGGCGCCCTAGAGATGCAAACCTGTTTTGGTCCATCTTCCTTTTTCTTTGTTTTGATCATTCCTTTTCCGCCACGTTTCTGACGCTTTTTTTCTTCTTCTACAGGATTATCATCTCCTATTTTTACTTTTTCGAATTCTGATGGCAGATTCTTTTCTAACCACTGCTTACATTTATCATATTCAGGATAATATTCACAATACTGGAATATAAAAACAGTTTTAAAAAAAAATCTTCCAAAAATGAAATAGCAACACCTCTATTGGCATACTACAGTTTCCACAATAGGTCACTTGAATCGGGTAGGTCACTCTTTCCTTGGGGCCCATGGCTAATTTATCATCTGTAGCAGTAGTCATTTTATTTAAATTGTTGATTTGATCGTTTCAATACCCTTAATCACGAAACATCCCTTGATTTGATGTGATCACCATTGACTTAATCATAACCTCACTTGTCATGAGAGCTGTCACGATTAGATACCGTCCATGGTTGCCATTACCACCCGTGAGAGGCATAGATGAATTGGACGGAGATACAAGTGAGCTGATTTTTCCAAAGATTTATCAACATTTTCAAAATTGATCTGGCAATTAACGGTACAACGTGGTGTTGATAGGTTAGCTATACATTTTTTAATTTTAGGGTGGTCCTAAGAGTCCAATTCTATAAAAAACTGATTTCCATTTCATCTTAGATCAAGCAATCAGCTGTTAATGACATAAGGCGGATGGAAGATGTTTTGAAAAACGTCATTGGTTTTGAGTGGCATTAACCAAATTCCAAAACGGATATTAAAATATTTAAATTTGCCCCCTATAGTAAGCAACATGAGGAGCAACGTGCTGAAAAGTAGCATTGAAAAAGCAACATTCACTATTATTTGTCAGGTAAAAATTGTCTTTCATATCTACAATGTAATGAAATATCTTCTTTTAGGTGTTATTTAGATGTATAAGTTTTATTTTAAATGCTTACATCATTAGAACTGTAGGCCAAGATGTTCTAGGTATTATGAATGTAAGATTGTTGCTTTTAGAATCAACAATCTTGTTTCTCTCACAAGAACCCATATTCAAAGCTTGTTTAGCAGATACAACCTCCCAAAACTGGGCACAAATAGTGAATCAAGTTTGGATATCGTAAGTAAAGATGATGCTAAATAAAATTCATACCAAATACATTTTTAATATAATAGGCACTACATTTTGATATAATCATAGTTGTAAGGTATTCAATTTCTTTCAAGCAGCCAAACTGTACTTGAAAACTCTAGCTATCTGCTTATGAAAATCACTAGATTTGTAGAAAGTGAAACAGCTAATCTGCTTGCACTAAAAGCTAAGAGTGCACCAGTGGTGTACTACTATTTGTAGCAGCAAAGCTACCAATTAGTATTTCATATAATGTTACAATTATATGATCTCATTATATGAATAAGAAAATCCACCAGCATTATTGGGCTGGGGGAATTAATAGAGGAATTTTATTGATTAATTAATATGATAAATATAAGGACTAGTTTTTCCCATTACCTTTTACAAACTTGGAAAGACATTTCAAATGAATAGTTGATAGTAGATTTGAGCAACTGAAATGGGCCAACTTCTGTGACTAAAACTAAAAGCTTGTTTAACCAATAATGATTCAATCAAACATATAAATGAACCAATTAAACTAGCCAAAATATAGTTTTCTATGATTATTTCATGCTGACATCTGTATTAAATTTAATGAAAGATTGGTCTGTTAGGACAGAGAACATTTATATCACATATAATATACATTAATCTGTAACATATTACCTATTCATGGAGTGTTTCCAAAATGAGCATCAATATTCAAGGGGGCGATTTTTGTGTCCATTTCAAGAAGAAACCTTCATAGGAATAAACTTCTTAAGTTTTGAGATACAGGGTGATAAAGTTTTCAAAAATAAATCATTTATTATTACTGGTAAGAAATAGTAGTACTACACTACTATTTATTATTAATATCTGCAATACCACTTTAGATATTTTGATGAAATATGGCATACATGCACTATCTATCAAGAGGTATTTTTTAATGTACTACATTTTAATTTATACCAGAGGCATTTGTACAGAATGTCACCTACCTATTTTGGCAGACATTGATGGTATGACGCTGATTTCATAAAATAAAGATTATTCTTCAAATCTCTGGTCACTAAAAATATATGAACCATTTCTCTGCATGATCATAACAGTATTGTTGATATGACAATATCACCATGTAGAGAGATAGATTTTAGTTTTTTTTAGGTAAAAACCGCCACTGGTCGAAATTTAAAAAATGCGATGCTATAAATATGCCTTTTGATACATAGTGCGTGTATACCAAATTTCATTAGTATACCTAAAGTGATCTTACAGATAAATTATTTACTTTTGAAAACTTGACCACCCTGTACCTCAAAAGTTAACACGTTTTCTTCTTAAAATGGATCCAAAAGTCGCCTCCAAATAACACTAAATTATAACTATGTTAATGTCTATTTTAGAGTACCACTATGTATCTGTATATCATCAGTATTGGTTTATATCTGGATAAACTTCTTGAGTACAGTTGACCCTGTATACCTATCTCAATATAAAATAGGATGTTACGCTATGGCTGTATCCTGTATCATTGAGCAGGTGACTCAGGTGATGGTATTAGCATCACAAAGCTATTGCTTTGTGAAACTTAAAGTTAGTATCAAAATATTCTTTGGTATTCTACATGTAATAGTATTAGCTTATTTTGCAACTCAATTATTAGCTAGCTAAATTATTTATAAAGATACTGAAAGTATGCTTTATATGTAAAAAGTCTTGAGATCAGTTTGTTGTTGTAGAGTGAACCTTATCTTCTATGTAATTTTGTTCGTTTCATTCTATGGATTTTTTGATAGAACAAATTATAAAAAACTGAATTCAATTTACTTATGAATTAAATGATTTGATGACAAATCCTAATATGCATAATTTGTTTTTAGGTGATGTTAGATACAGTCTATGTAATAAGCAGAACAATAATTTTTGTATACTTTGTACACAATAATCCAAGCTTTGCATTGAATGCATTTTCAATTGCTCAGGTGGCATCTTCCATTATATTGCTTTTATTATATGTTGGATTCTTTGTTTGGTACATATCAGCCTTGAATGAATTCAAGAAGAAGGAACTGAGTAAACATGCCATGTTTTCAGATATGACAGATTTTCCCTTTACTTCTGTAAAAGACTTTCTACCAGGAGTAATGGCTAATCATCAGGTAGATATGTTTGGTATTACAGAACATTGTTACAATATTTTAAGATGTAATTATGTTTTGTTTCATTTAAAATGTTGAAGCAAAGTATTGTCAAAGAGTAATCCACTCTAGAACTTGTGTGGAGTTTATTGGATTGTTTATTTAAGTCGGTAGAGGAATAAGAATAACTAAGTACTGATGCACATTAGGCCACTGGTATCGGCGCAACCTGATTGTACCACCGACAGCTTCTGAGCAATAGCCTGGAGGAGTATCACCCTACTTTTGGTTGAATTTCATAACTCGCCACTCGCGCGCATGCAACCGTAGTATCTAACCTCTATCAAACATTAGATTGAAATGTGCAACCTCTAGTTGGGCTTAGTCGCTAGTGGTATCGGCTTATGGCCATCACCAGTACCCTAGTCGCCTTTTGTGCGGCAGCACTATTTAAAATTATCCGATTTTAGATATCTTAATCGTTGTTAGATTTTCACAGGGCATGTTATTGAAATATACATGTTTGCTTTCCATCTAACCATGACCAACCGCATATAGAGCTGTTTCGTTCTCATTAGCAACTATAGCACATATGAAACTGATTTATCAAGGTGCGTTGCGCATTATGAAGAGCATCACCCATTTCTTTGTAGTAGTTATTAATAATACAATATAAATAGCCATAAAATAGATTCAGTCATACCAATAGTTATTTATTAAAAATAGCACGAGGTTGCTTGTCTAGAGACGTATTGTTTATAAATATAAATAGAGTTAAAAGAACGACGTGTTTTTGGTGTCATGTTAATATCAATATTTAGACAAGGAGAAACGGTGACACAATCGAAAAAATATTCCATATAGATGTTTTTAGAATAAGCTTCAACATGTGGCCAACCTTGAAAGTGATCTGGCGATTTCAATTCTTAATGAATCACGAAACTCTCAAATCATTGAAATTCAAATCGACAAACCATTATACAGGGAAAACCAAATTTGACTTGACGGCTTGAGTTCAACGTGAACGAGAGTGAAGCGCGAGAAGTGTGTATCAACAACTGTTAGAAAGAGATAGAAGCCGACTGAAGAGCGAAGATCATCACCATATTTCCTAGCAGCCTTGACGCAGAAGGTCGTGCAATCTACCGCGTCGCCAATATGTTACACCAGAAAATGTTCACAATAAAATACAAAATACAAACACAAAATAAAATTTGATTTAATATTTTGTTTTCATTTTGACTAGAATTATTTCAATTTTGATAAATGTAACAATAACGTGACGCAATACAAATTATCACTGCCTGCCTGTACGCAGGTGAAAGCCATTTCGTAGCAGAACGACACTCCCCTAGGAGCACTAGATGGGTACTGACGAGCGCCGTTAGGTCCGATCGAGAATCAGTCCTAAACATATTCGACACAATTCATAATTCAAAAATGTGAACGCTCAAAATAAAGCCATTACTTGGGCGTAGAGAATAAACTAGCGTATACATTGAACTCAAGCCGTCAGACAAATTTGGTCCTGGGTGTATATGAAGATGTAACTGTCCATATTAAAGTTCTAATATTCCTTTACGAATTCCATATACGATCTTTGACTATATGTATGCGAAAACGGCTTTTGAAAAAAGCGTGGAACTTAATCAAAAGTTAAGTCCGGGAAAATCGGCATTATGTAGAGCAGTCTAATAGATTTTATCCTAAAAGTTTTTATTTGATTGTATTGAGGTAAATATTGCACTTTATAGACTAAATTGTCAAAAAATCGCCGGTTTCAAATAATACCGCTATGATATTTTTGCGCGCCTAAAATTTAGTAGTTTAAAACGTCTAACCTCGCCATACGTTTAACTATGCGATGATGGTGAATATAATGTTGTGTACTTTTTACATTGTTTTTTAGGATTCACTACTAGATAAAAAGACATGTTTACTGACTGTCAGTTTTCTGAAGCAATCTGCAGTGAAACAAATTCTAACTGAAGGCGAGAAATATGTCATGACAATCTCACCAGTGCTCACCTTTAGTGAACAATCAATGTATGATATTGTAAACAATTTGGGTAGTCTAGCTGCAAGGTAGTTGTCAATATTGAGAAAAAGTTACATGTTCCTAATAGTAGCAATTTGTAGGTTCATATTTCGCCCAATAGAAGAATCTTCATATTTTTACTTTACGCAGATGATCAAAAGAGATGTTCCATTGGAGGATCAAAATCAGGTAAAAAAAAACAACCAACATATTTAAAAATCCACAAGCAAGATAGCAATTTTTGCTATTTACAAATTGGAATAACCTGAATGATGATTGTGGACTCATAGAAAGAATGTTTTGCTGATTGTTCACCTGCCTGATATTGAATGATTTAAATACAAAGAGGCATGCAAAATATAGGAATATATCATGAGTGTCGCCATTAAGGCGTATAACCACTTGTAACAAATGGTCCGAAATGAACGCCGAACATGTTATAAATTGTAACATTCGAGGTTCGGCTTGGAATACGTTGATACAGACTGTTGCAAATGCATTTTGAATTTCGGTTCGCACGCCTTATTATTATTTGATACGTCGGTAAAAACCATCAAATAGTTGTTCTGGTTGTAACATGTTAACATATCATTTTAATACAGGCTGTATCAGCTTGCCCATTCCTCTGGCGTAAAATGTTCGGTATTCATGTTCGAGTCATCCGTTAAAAGTGAATATTTGAACTGATTCAAACTATAAATGTATAAATTATCAAGTAGTTAGGAAGTAGAAAAATTAATAAGCTTCATTTTGGTTTTTAGGGAAAAATTTCCGAATCCGCAGAGGTGGTGGGCCAGCTTGGTAAGATTGTCACGAGCATAGGTCTAGTGATCGTCGTATTTGGCCAGTCCTATAGCCATGCCTTCCTTTATTTATATGGAGGTAAGCAGCTAGTAGAGCCAGATCTACCTGTACTGCTAATGCGATATCACAGCTTTGCCATTGTGCTACTTGCTGTCAATGGTGTTACTGAAGGTTACGTTTTTGCCACTATGGATAATCAGCAAATAGACAGGTACATAATTTAAAATCAATTTGTGTAGCAATACACTTTTAAATGTTTATTTACTATTTACTGACTTTTATAATTGCTGGAGCTGTTCAGAACAGCTGCCTTACTTAAAAGATTGACCGCGTTCATCCGATCATAGCACTATTAACTAAGAAGGAAGTGACCACTTACTACATTTAACCTATAAAGGCAATTCCCCATCCTAGGTATGTGGTGTATGGTGTGAAACATAAGAATGTTAATTTTGGTTTAGGTAGGGCTACTGGGAGGATGAATGCAGCTCATAATCTCTTCAGCTCAAAATGTGTCTCATAAAATATTGTCTATAAAGTATATACAGTCCTTGTGTTTGTGTTGTTTTAGGTATAACTATCTCATGGTGATATTTTCCATCGTGTTTTTGCTGATATCATACGTCTTCACATGTACCATAGGACCTGTAGGGTTTATTTTAGCAAATTGCTTCAATATGTCAGCAAGAATCATTCATAGGTGTGTGTGGAATATAGAATAATTTGAAGTGTGATTTATTAAATATTTTCCCTTTTCAGCATAATTTTCATTAGAAAAAGATACAAGAATACTAGACATAATCCTTTGATAGGATTTTTTCCAGGAAAGAAATTCTTATCTGTCCTTATACTTTCCGGGATTCTAGCTAAAATTTCAGAGGTAAATATTAATTTCAATTTTTGATTTTACAATATAAATAATACTAATTTTTTTCAGATGGTGATTTATGAGAAGTCTCTACTGTTACACATCTCAATTGGAGCTGTTTTATTTGCCACAGTTGCATTTTTTTGGTGTTTGGAAAATTTAAAGTCACTAAAATTAGGTTATGACAAATATAAAAGAAGAGTTTCTCTCAAAATGGATTGACGTGTGCCAAAATATCACAAAGCCAAAGATACCTTGTTAATAATTGTAAATATATTTATTTTTTATATATTGTTTGTTACAGACTATGTGTAGTTTTGTTAAAAGCCAATATCAGCTGATATCAAAAATATGCTGAAATACGTAAATCAATACGTATTTGAGGGACTTGTATGCGGATATATCCACAGCTTCACAAACGTTTCAGGACTCTGCTTGCTTATCTTATTTAACGCGATTACAGCTTGCTGGGCAAGTCTCTCATTCTGCAGGGCGGCTTTGTCAAATTTTTTGGCATCCATTTAAACAGTTGACTAAATTGGAATGCTCACATTAATTATACATGCACAAAGATCACCCTATACTTGTACTACATCAGTCAGCTACGCTTTGTAGTCGATATATATTTGCTATTGACCTACTACTTTGCATATATCCACTCCACAATTTCATACGGTAAGCAATTCGAATATTCACTATACAAAAAAGCGTGCATTCATTTTTAGGTCTGAGCAGAAGGACCAGCTGCAGACATTCTTTCATGCGGCTGGGAATATTGACTTTGCCATCTATACAGGGTGTTCTTTTGAAAACGTCCAACCACGGTTTTATCGAAAACCACTGATTAAAAGAAAAAACGGCGAGACACGTCAAAAGATTTGTCAAGGGGGACAACTTTTCAACCAAAAACTATTCCACCCTCTGCCCCCAGGCTTGTTTGAAAGGTCTTCCAAAATCCTTTATTTTGACGTTTGATTTTTTAAAATCGGTCTATTCGTATTCAAGAAAATTATAAAAATCTTTATCTTAATTTGTTCAGACAGAAAACAAAAACACACGAAAATATCACTTTTTATTTCAATAAGTGTTCAAAATGTTGTTCGTTATTGGCCAAACAATGATATAGGCGATGTTCAAAATCCTGTCGGACATTTTCAAAAACATATTGTGGTATATCATGGCAGGTTTCGATGATACGTTGACGAAGTTCATCCAAACTTTCAGGTTCGGGAGTAAACACAATAGATTTCAAATGAACCCTTAGAAAAAAGTTAATGGCGTCAAATCAGGAGATCTAGCAGGCCATTCAATAGGCCATCTTCGCAATATCCATTTTTCTGGAAACTCGTCGTCTAGCCATTGCCGAACAGGAAGAACATAGTGAGGAGGAGCGCCGTCTTGCCGGAAATATGTATATTTCAGCCCCATCAAGTACGAGTATAGGGTTTCCATCCTCTTTGATTTGGTTTTCAATGGTTTCAGCGATAAGCGGATTGAAGGTATTTTCCAACATATCCAAATAAATGTCTCCATTCAAATTTCTATTAATAAACAATGGCCCAATCACTGTGTTTCCTAAAATGCCTGCCCATACATTAATTTTTTGGGGGTACTGTGTATGCCCTTCAAAAGCATGAGAATTTTCTTTACTCTTTAACCTGCAGTTATGCTTATTAATAATTCCATTTAGATAAAATATTTTCATTTTGAATGGATGAAAATTATGGAGTTTAGTAACTGTGTGTACAGAGCCTAATGAAATACCAGTCGCAGCGACAATTTTACGTAATGAAGTATTAGGATGTTTTCCAAAATGATACAACCTGAGCAGCTTCATCCAAAACTCTCCGATGATCCAGTTTTTTATTTGCAAAAGATCCAGTTTGAGTAAATTTAGTAACAAAGTCCAAAACATGCCTATCTTTATCTTCCCCGGATGTCTGGCGTTAAACGCGACGGCAGTTTGCCGAGCACATTGATTTTGGGCACCATAAATTCCACTCTTTCGGCTAGTGTGTTTGTTTTGGAAGTAGAATCTGAACCAATAAATTCATTTTCACTATCCCAAGATTGTCACAAAGGTAACTGACAGAAAAATTAAATTATTTCTTTCCCTTAGCAGCAAATAACTAAACAGGTATAACAATAGAGTTGGCCTAGGATATCTGTGTTGATGAAAAAAATTCGGATTGTTATTTGGTTGCTGCCTCATCTATCCTTCCGAATTGCTGTTTATGTGAGTAGTTTCCATTTAAAATTATAAACAAATTGTTGATTTGGCAAACCCTAACGGGCAACATTTTGAACACTTATTGAAATAAAAAGTGATATTTTCGTGCGTTTTTGTGTTCTTTCTGAACAAATTGAGATACATATTTTTCTAATTTTCTCGAAAACGAATAGACTGATTTTAAAAAATCAAAATAAAGGACTTCGAAAGACCTTTCAAACGAGCTATTACTCAATACTCCTTGTCTTTTAAAATTTTGAAGGGGATGACCCTGAAGTAGTAGTAGTAGTGAAGTAGTTTCTGGTTAAAAAGTTGTCCCCCTTGACAAATATTTTGAAGTGTCTCGGCCTATTTTCTTTTAATCAGTGGTTTTCGATAAATCCGTTTTGGGAAGTTTTCAAATGAATACCCTGTTGATACATGTGAAATCTAACTTAGCCGATTTTCCAAAATAAAACGACAATAATAAGTACTCGACTAGAAATTCGTTTGTCCTGCAGATTCCTGCACATATGTTGTCAAGAGCACAAATCAAGTGGATATTAGGCTGTTCAATAAATTGCCAAACATTTTCAAAACATTGTCAATGCCTTATTTAGGCATAAATCTGAAGCTCTACTAAAACTTAGAGCGTACTATTCTTCGGACGAATATTTCTCAAATATCCAGCTAGCTGCTAGACCATCAATATCCTTAACTTGGCAATACTATTCCAACTGTGATCTCTATATCAGTCCCATTTACAATTTCAACTGTTAGCATATTGATTTTTGTATTTCGTTTTCTTATTTAGTTGTTTTAACTAAGCCAATCCTTATTTTAATATGTAGCTACTAAGTTGTATTTCTTTTTTCGTTATTTTTGTGACCGTCATATATTTCATATGTATATTGTTTTTATTTATCTATTTGTAGAATGCTTTTTGGTATTTTTCATGATCCGAATACCTTCACCATTGATGTGTTCTAGGGCATGATAAATGATCCTACAGGATCAATAAAGATTATTATTATTAGATCTCAAATGCGATATTTCACGTCTCCATTTCAATGTCAAACTGTTGTGTGTTATAATATTTCCTCATAAGACAACATAGTTCGCTTACTTTCCACATTTTGGATCTATAAAAAATGCACATGCCACATTTGTAGCCGAATATTGCATAACAATTAACTGCTGTGTTACCACAAGAGTTCTGGGTGGGATTTTGCGTTTTTTGAAGATGTTTGACGTTATTGTGAGGTTGGACAAGGATGACTTGTTTGGTATAGGAGAAAAATGACAGTTATCTTATGCTTGCTTGTGGCTTTTGGAGGCTGGACGTCCTATTGTGAGTGGGAATCCTACCCTAGGTCATCTTAAAATTGCAGGGATGTAGTGTAACAACACACTGTGTATTAATGTGATAAGAAAAAACAAATAAAATGCGGCCTGAAAGTCGTATACAGTGAACTCCGGTTATAACATACCCTCTAGGGAGTATGTATGCTATAAAGGAAACCCATCAAATTAAATATGTTAATTTTTATTTAGTTCAATTAAAGGACTAAACTAACTAAAAATACAAGCTAGGTATGTAATATAAAAAAGATATAGTAATATGAATATGAAACAAATAACATTAAAACAGGACATAATCAAATTAAATATGTACAATTACATATGTAATTATGCATACAGTAATGATTTTTTGAAAAAATAACTTATTTTTGTTTGTTGATTTTTTTACACACTTTTATATTCTCGATGTGCTTCTCAACTTTTCACGAGGCTTGTGAAATTGTATCATCAGATCCGTAATCAGTGAATTGTAAGAAACTTGTAACAGTTTTAATTGCACAAAGTGCTTCAGAATAACTTGGAATTGGTTCGGTCACTTGACCCTCAACATCGCGGCTTTCATTATCGGAACTTAGATCATTCGTTGAATGGTTTGATTCTACAACTTCAGCAATAATGTCACAATCCGTTAAGGTCTCTGTTGCTACCAAATTATCATCGATGATCGTAAAGTTATCTAGTTCAGAAAGATATTTGTCCACAGTAGTTTTGTGTGGGCAGTGAGTTCGCAACCAATCTCTTAGGGGGACGTTCCAATCATCATCAACACTTTTGTATTTCACGTACCACTGATTCAGAGGCAAGTAATCATCTGAATCAAACTCGTCGATCGATTTCACTAGACCACCATGTTGAAAGCAGTTTTCAATAGTGTTTTTTTGAAACTTCATTCCATGACTGTCCAATTAATTTTATCGAGTCTAAAATTGTTATATTGAAAGTTTCCTTATTATCCAATGCTCGGATTAGGCGGTACATAAAATATCTATGATATTATTTAAGGCATTTTATTCCATCGGTTGAACGACCGAGGTGCAATTGGGAGGCAAGAATTCTAATCTGATATTAATTTGTCAGATCTACATTCTTAGGATGAGCTGTACAATTGTCAACTAGAAGCAAGATTCTTCTGTGACGGGAAAAAAGTTTGACATTTTACAGGTTACGAAATGTCACTTTTTGTGAAATTACTTTTTTCCTCGGGAAAAAATGAGTACTTTTTTCCCGGATATTGAATACGCGGTTTTGTAAATTTTCCGCGATTTAGCTGGCAATACTTTTTGTGACGCTACTTTGGCTACTTCTACTAATTCCGGTGGAGTCAAAGAAAACTCGGAATCAGACATTTTTTACTTTACAGTATTAAAAATAACTTCTAAACGACCACTAAGTCCACAATTTTTAAATCAAATCACAAAATTAAATTGACAGCTGTTTGATTACTTTGAAAGTTTCCTTAGCAACGCAGGTCTAATTGTCGCTATAAGTACAACATAAATCAAATCCAATCGAATAACCAAAAGTTCTGTGCTATGTGCCGCGGTTATAATATGGTTCAAGATGACACACGGGTTGATCACGTCAGTTACACGAATCGCTTGAATGCGTTGGTTTTAACCGCGGTTTTGTTGCAAGTTGTTTATTTTAGGAAAGTGCGTATATTACTTAATAATTGGTGCTTTTTTGTCTACAACGGTGTATGGAAAGTTTAAATAAGAAACCTTTCATAATATTCATGGGAGAAATATTTTGTTTTCATAAATTTTTTTTTAATGATGGAACCATGGTTTTGTAGCAGAAATGATGAAAAAAGATATTAGCAAAACCGTATACAGGTGGACATCATCCAGTGAGTTAAATGGCGATATTTTAATATTCTTGTGGTATATGGCTACACAGGATACTTTGTTAAACATAGGAACTAGATTGAAAGTGTTTCCAACAACAGTAATGAGTATAACTAATAAGGTGCTCCACTTTATGCTAACACTGAAGTCAGCCTGTATCCAGTCTCCCAAAAATGAAGCTGAAGTACAATAACAATATCCAATACCCGAATCAAATTCAAGCGGATAACCAAATGGAAATGGTATTTACCATTTTGGGTTGGTATTTACCGATTCGTTCAAGCGAGTGTAGTTATCATTTTGGTTATAAGGTCCGTGACGTCACGAAACAGCTGTTATATGTCATAGTTATCACCGCAAAATTGTGGTATTTACCCAACTCAAGAGTAGTTTTATATTTCTGGTTATTATTTGAAATGTGACAAGTTAGAATTTTGTCGGGTATTGGATATTGTTATTGTACTTCAGCTTCATTTTTGAGAAAATTGATACAGGCTGACTTCAGTTTTACCATAAAGTGGAGCACCTTATTAGTTATACTCATTACGGTTGTTGGGGACACTTTAAATGTAGTTCCTATGCTTAACAAAGTATCCTGTGTAGCCATATACCACAAGAATATTAAAATATGGCCATATAAAGTCACTAGATGATATCCACCTGTATACGATTTTGCTAATTTCTTTTTTCATCATTTCTGCTGAATCAATAAGTGTTTTCTTTGACATGTGGAAAAATTTAGAGAATTGAAAGTTATCATAGCTACAAAGCCATGGTTCCATCATTCAAAAAAAAAATCTGAAAAAACATTTCTCCCATGAATATTATGAAAGGTTTCTTATTTAAACTTTCCATATACAGTTGTAGACGTACAAGCACCGATTATCAAGTGATAATAAAAATAATCAGAGATTATATACGCGCTTTTCTAAAATAAACAACTTGCAACAAAACCGCGGTTAAAACCAACGCGTTCAAGCGACTCGTGTAACTGACGTCATCAACCCGTGTGTCATCTTGAACCATATTATAACCGCGGCACATAACACAGAAATTTTGGTTATTTGCTTGGATTTGATTCTGGCAAAATTCTAACTTGTCGCATTTCAAATAATAACCATAAATATAAAACTACTCATGAGTTGGGTAAATACCACAATTTTGCGGTGATAACTGTGACATATAACAGCTGATTCATGACGTCACGGATCTTATAACCAAACTGATAACCACACTCGCTTGAACAGATCGGTAAATACCAACCCAAAATGGTAAATACCATTTTCATTTGGTTATCCGCTTGAATTTGATTATAGCCTACTAATTCCAAAATTCAAATTTCACATCGATAATTTTCCGAGTTAAATATTGTAATAATATAATTTTCAATATTCAATCGTCGTTTTTCCCGTCATAGAAAAAATTGTGTATGATACAAGGGAAAAATACAACCCCAAGCTAAAATCTGCTACTTTTTCCCTTGTATAATAAATAGCTATTTTTGACGTCGACGGATAAAAATGTCTAAAGTAATCTATGCGCGTCTGTTCGATTTATAAATGACAGGCAAGTTCTTAATATTTTTCATGCACCTCGGTCGTTTGTATTTACCAGTGACAAGAAGCTTACATTTTTCACTACCTGTCATATTTAAACAAACCAAAACAGTAATCAAATTCAAGCGGATAACCAAATGGAAATGGTATTTACCATTTTGGGTTGATATTTACCGATCCGTTCAAGTATCAGTTTGGTTATAAGATCCGTGACGTCACGAATCAGCTGTTATATGTCATAGTTATCACCGCAAAATTGTGATATTTACCCAACTCAAGAATCAAATTCAAGCGGATAACCAAATGGAAATGGTATTTACCATTTTGGGTTAGTATTTACCGATCCGTTCAAGCGAGTGTAGTTATCAGTTTGGTTATAAGATCCGTGACGTCACGAATCAGCTGTTATATGTCATAGTTATCACCGCAAAATTGTGGTATTTACCCAACTCAAGAGTTGTTTTATATTTCTGGTTATTATTTGAAATGTGACAAGTTAGAATTTTGCCGGGTATTGGTAAGTACAAACTTCAGCTTCATTTCTGAGAAAATTGATACAGGCTGACTTCAGTTTTACCATAAAGTGGGGAGCACCTTATTAGTTATACTCATTACGGTTGTTGGGGACACTTTAAATGTAGTTCCTACGCTTAACAAAGTATCCTGTGTAGCCATATACCACAAGAATATTAAAATATGGCCATATAAACTCACTAGATGATATCCACCTGTACACGGTTTTGCTAATTTCTTTTTTCATCATTTCTGCTCAATCAATATATGTTTTCTTTGACATGCGGAAAAATTTAGAGAATTGAAAGTTATCATAGCTACAAAGCCATGGTTCGATCATTAAAAAAAATCTGAAAAAAAACATTTCTCCCATGAATATTATGAAAGGTTTCTTATTTAAACTTTCCATACACAGTTGTAGACGAAAAAGCACCGATTATTAAGTGATAATAAAAATAATCAGAGATTATATACGGGCTTTTCTAAAATAAACCACTTGCAACAAAACCGCGGTTAAAACCAACGCGTTCAAGCGATTCGTGTAACTGATGTCATCAACCCGTGTGTCATCTTGAACCATATTATAACCGCGGCACATAACACAGAAATTTTGGTTATTCGCTTGTATTTGATTAGTGTATCTCAGCTTTGATTGTTTGCCTCCCACACACTTTTCTCCTCTAAATTTTAGTGTATGGTGTATCTGAAGTCACTTGAAATAGCATAAAAACATTTGGTCGGCGCGTCCTTTGTAATTTCATGACGTATCATAGGCGTGCGGCATTTATTTAGAACGATAATAATAATGTTTTTATATCACAATAAATGGATTTTACTATCTTCTTATTTTTTTGATTTGGGATAAAAAATACTTATATTGGGAGTTTAATTTATGTTGACTGAAAGTTATGAAATGGAAAAATTACAGAATTCCAACGTTTGACATAGGCAAATATTTACATAGCAGGTAGGTATATAAAAATGTATATAAAGACTTACATTACAGGTATTTATATATCATCCTCGCCTTCGGAGCTGTCGCTAGAGTCATCTTGTAGAGGAATTACAACGGGATTTACAGGAGGCAAAATACAATATTCATTTTTTTTCAATAATATGCCTAGAACACTGCTTCCGTAGGTCTGTGGCAGCAATATGAGATACTGCATCTCTTATTGTGGCCAATAGCGATTCACTTAATTGAGGGGTCTGATTATGTTTTCTTACTTTTTTTTTTAAAGCAGCCCAGACCAACTCAATCGGGTTAAAAATGCAGTAATAGGGAGGTAGACGTAATACTTCATGGCCATTTTGCTGAAGCAGATTGTCAACAACATACTCTTTTTCAATTTTTTATCTTTTAATAAAATCCAATAATATGGCTTTGGTTGATTTTTGTGGTATTTCCATTCCCTTATCCTTCATAAAATCAATAATGTCTTGTTTTTTGTGCCTGTATTCGGAATTTTGTTTTTCTGTCGGGAATGGTATGGCGCATTGTCCATAATAATCACTGAATTTGGGGAAATGTTTGGTATTAACTGCTGCTCTATCCACTTTTCAAATAAGTCGGAGGTCACGTCCTCATGATATTTTTGGCAGATAACAGCAAGGCATTAGGTATAAATCCATTTTCACTGCCAGCATGGAGAATAATGATTCGTTTTCCACGGTTGCATGGTGCATTTAAAATGCACTTGTTGCTGTCGTCAACCCAGCCGTACTGCACAACATCATGGGTATCATACCACGTTTCATCTAGGTAAATCAGATTTCTTTTCTGCTCTCTATAGATTTTAACTTTGTGCAAAAATTCTTGGCGCAATTCAACGATTCGAGACGACTTCATAATCACCATTCTTTTATCTAATTTTTTGTTTTGAAAACCACACAGTTTTACAATACAGTGCAGTGAGTCTAAGCATTTGTAATTATAAAAATCTTCAGGATAATCTTTTAATTTATCCCGTATCATTTCCAACGTGGGCACCAAATTTTCTTTATAAAATCCGTATATTACACGACGAATATCTTCCTGAAAACCCACGTCTATTCTTTTTAATTTTTGCCCTATGCGCTTTCTGGGGAAGGAATGGTTGACTACATCTCCCCTTTTTATAACCCGATAAATGGTAGACCGACTGATTTTTGTCAGGATACAAATTCTGTTTAAAATTTGATTTTGCGAGGAATCTGGATTTTCGTTTTTCAGACAATCATACATATTTAGGATTACTCTTTGGGTCTGTTCCTCTAAATCTTTATGAAAGAATTCTGCCTGCACAGGTTCATCAACCTCGTGGCTTGGAGCATTTTCCCAAGGTCTCCAAAGAGCCATATTTAGGACACACAAGAACAATCAACACAACAATTAAATCAACAAGTAAACTGAGTATTCAAAAGTCAAAAACACACAAACTAATAAAATCTATGAAAAAACACGGACAGACTAAAGAAAACACGTTTATTCACCGCTACACGGCACTGGCTAAACTGTTTCAATTTTCAGTAGCCACCTGCACTTGTTCCGAGCTCTGAAATACACGCTTTCTCATTGGCTATGTCCACGCATAGGCGTGCTTTACTCCACGTGGACCGGTGAAACTGCCTTTGATCTCTTATAGGGATATTTGCTGCGAAATTTGGCGATTTTTGCAGCAACAGAGCGTGTTAAATATAGATATATAAAACGCACCCGGTATTTCAGTGTTTCAAGTGACTTCAGATAAAGTATACGGTCTGGAGTAATCTTGTAAAATAGTCCGGTTTCGTCCGCATTAAAAATATCCTCACAGTTGTAATTTTGTGCAATGCCTGGCGATTTATCTATAACTAGTTCACCACAGCTTCCTTGTTAACATCTGCTTCACCAGACACTTTGCCGACATTTATTTTGTGACGAACTTTGAGACGCTCGAGCCAACCCGTAGTGCACCTAAAATCGCCACCGTGTAATCCCTTGGATAAATCTTCCGCTTTTGCTTTTAAAATTGGACCACTTATAGGAATATTTTCGGTTCTTCGCAACTCAAACCATCGTATAAGAGGTTGATCCACATCTGGACGTGTGGGATTTCTAATTTTCTTAATTCTCTGCGATTTATATTCACTGGCTTGCTTTTTTCACGATTGCACCAAATTGTAGAAACTGATTTTGCCAAATTTTCCTTCGCGCAATTTCAGAGTTTCCGATGCCACTCTCGATACTTTTAATGATGTCTATCTTTTCGTTAAAACCTATAGCTTTGCGCGTATCTGTATTTTAACAAAACAATAAATACAAAAATATGTATTCGCACAGTTAAATGCAACGTCCAATATAAAACTACCCGACATATTTCGCGCTATAGAGTCGATTACTGAAAAACCCCGGTGCCGCGCTGGCGGCATTCCTGCCAACAGCGGGACAGCGGTGAAACTTCCCAGTATCGATTAATGGGAATCCCCGACAGTGGCGGAGAATTACTCTGCTTATAACAGATATTTGTATGTTATAACCAGAATATGACAACTAAGTGGGTAAAAATGATATACCCGCAGTTAAAATTTTAATCGGTACGCTATGTCCAATAAAATTACAAGACTATTTGGGTGGGTCCAATGAAATGAGTATGTAACAACCAGAATTATGTTATATCCGATGTACATTATAGATGGAGTACACTGTATAAACAAAATATGTTATCGAAATTGTCAGTTATACTTGAAAAAGGCCATGGTAGTTGCAAAACATCATCAGTAAACAGTATTTTATGTATATGGTTTCATTTAGTAGCCAGAAAAACATTGATTATCAGCATGAAAACCACAGCATAAGTTTCAGGTGTCACATTAGTCAAACTTAATGATAATTGGGATTTATACAGTGCCTGCTGTAAATGCAGCTACAGATATCTTGACTTAGGTCCTGAAACTTCCAAAATGTCAATTTGTGTAAAAAGTGCATAAACCAGATTTGCATCCAAGCCTTTAATTTACAGATTCATACCTATATCAATATTAGGTCATTTTTGAACAACATAAATAATGATAGTATTTATTTTCAATAATATTTGTTACTGTTTAACAATAATGGCCAAGTAAAATAAATGCCTAAGACAATTTATAAATTTGTTAATAGACGAATCAAAATAAATGGTGCTTAACTATGTTATCTTACATGCTTAATATAGAACATATCTGAGAAGAGGCAGAAAAGATGTAAAAAAAAGCATAATAATAACTCTGTCAATTAATATTTCCTATATATTCAGTTTATACTTTTGAAAATAGCACCAGTAACTGTCCCAGTTGTTGTAATAATGCAAGATCTATTATCATTTTCAAGTAGAATTACAGGTGGCTTGCTTTTGGGCTCTAATCTTGCAGCTTCTTCTGCAATTGCATGTATTATGCCAGCACTATCATCAGATGCTTTTCCTGTTACTAAAATTGAGGAAAATAATGAGTTAGATCTGTACCTCAGAGCCAGACTGGGTAAAGTCCATATGAGCAGTTTTGAGATATGATTCTTCTATTGTATGCAACATGTCTTATGAAGTCAGAACCTCCCTATTATTATAAGTAAATGGACACTCGCAAGTAGTAAATGAAAATTCGCAATCATGAACTTGACATATAAAACTCGGTTTAGGCAAAAATGGACTTGACCTAGTCTGCTTCTGAGGTACAGAAATACGTGTGAGTAATATTTGCTTAGACTAGTTTGGATTATTCAAGTCAATTAATATCTTCTAAAATATGTTCAACAAGCTGAGTTTTGATAATGACAAAAGCATATGCACACCTCCTAAACAGAGCCCTTGGTGGTCTGCAAAGACACATCCTACTACGCCGGGCCTTGCAATTCTGAAAACAAATTGATGTATTCCAGTAAAACTTATTATACATGTTCCTTTTACACTTACAACTCATCCATTACAGTTTCTAATTTTTTCTCCATCTTAATTATCTGTATCAGGTTCAGTTGTAGAAATTAGGTAAGGTAATGTGTCGTCCACATATTTTTATTTTTTTTTATACAGCACAGCTAAAAATTAACATCAGCTATGAAACTCTCCTGTCATTGTCAAAAACAGCCGCACTTCGGCCGAGAAAGTCGAATGTAAATTCCCCCAGTGCAAATATGAAAGTTTTTAGTGCTCATCAGCAGCCGGTACACTATATCATATCGAAATATCATTTCAAGATTGCAAATGTAAGCATACATAATATTTCAGACACTTTTACTTTTCTGCATGTGACTCATCCTGTAAAAGGTTCACTTGAAACTTGGAATGCTAAGAAAGGAACTGCTGGCATACACATTTCAACAACCACTTACGACCCTGCGTATTCCTGAAACCAAGGGCACGCTGAGGCACAGACCCTCTTAAGTTCATTCTAATATTCGAACAGTTGAAAGGTCGAAGTTTCTGTGTGTTGTGATTTTGTGTATACTGCCCATATCAATTTCAGGTCAAGGTTCAATCAATCAAACGGTGAGGATTTTCACTGAGTATCTTTTATTGTTTTGCTGTACTGCATGTCATGTGTATTTTCTAACCCTGGTACCCTTATGATCACAATAATAATTGTCATGAGTCAAAAGCAGTCAGATGAGATATGTTTATCAACAGTGAATATAGAGTTAGACGTAACATCTACAAAGGTGTGACGCCTCCACATCCTGGAGGCTGTTATGAGACTTACAGAGCCGGGTCGCCAGCGGGGGAATTACTGCTCGGTTTTCTCTTTCAGGAGATGTCGGAGCGTTTTGGATATTGACACAACGGTCATTTTCCGACGTGGTATCCTAGGTCTGTGTGACCGCCTAGGTTACCCACGAGGCAACCGCAGGAGTCTGGAAGTATCTCAAGGCAAGATGTGTATATAGATTGTTACTTAAAGTTGTCATGCTGCTCGGTTGTCTCTGAATCAGAGGTAACGTCTAAGCTTTTGGGTATTGACACGGCAACGGGATATCCTGGTTTCTGGGCTGCTTTTCGTAACAATCAAATACTTGGCATATCTGTCTATGCACCAGATTATTAAGATATCCTTATCGGGTGTGACTTCTATGCAGTAGGAAGCTACCGTTCCGCTGATCATGGACACCGGCGTGACTTCCATGCTGTAGGAAGCTACCGTCCCCCGTGCAAGCAAGGTATTTCCATATCAGGCATGACTTCCATGCGGTAGGAAGCTACCATTCTCCTGATCATTGACACGGGCGTGAGCTCCACGCGGTAGGAAGCTACCGTTCCCCTAGTTATGGACATGGGTGTGACTTCCATGCGGTAGGATGCTACCGTTCCGTATTATAGTTTATAATAATATAGTTGAGACATATCATGACCATTATTATATTGTTTTACAGTCAATATCAAAACAGCTAATTAACATAATGAAAAGACAGTAGAGTTGTGCATGTCATGAGTCGGTAGAATCCGGAAGGTACTCAAAAGATTTTTCTCAAAAATAGGCTTGGCCCCGAAAACACATTGTGTCGACCGTATCTCTCGCCAAGGAAGAACAACTCCCCTAACGTTACGTCACCAAGTAAGTGGCTTCGAAATTATCCTGACATTAAAGCCCTTGTTAAGTTGTACTACCCTCCTAATAAAAGAGAAAAGGTACAGGGCAGTTCTTCGAACGCTTGTAAAGTGTTGTTTTCACGTTTAACGCTATATTTCTATCATCACCTTTTTGTATCCTATACAAAGAATATCTGCGGCCACCGGCATGTCACGAGGCAACACCGGCTCCTGCTGAGTACTAAAACCTTTCATCGTTGTACTGGGGGAATTTATATTCGACTTTCTCTGCCGAAATGGCGACCGTTTTTGATACTGACAAGAGTGTTACATAGCTGATTGTTATCAAGCAGCACAGATCACAAAACACATCACCAGCACAGAACAGATGCCATGGGTGAACTGGAGAAATGAGAAAAAAACGACCCAAAACCTTGACACCTGATTGAGGGCGCAGTGTTCGAAGCGAATACCACTACTATGCATAACAGTTAAAATAGGTTTTCAGCAGGGTTGCGTTTACCAGGCCAGCTTGTGCTAAGTTAACATCTTATATAAAAACCTAAGAAATGTCAAAAAAACGACGATGGGTCGGCCAGAATTTCCCCAGAACAAATCCCTCAGAATATTGATATTAAACAAAAATCCCGTATATAGGCTCCATGCCATAGCGCCAACAAATCAAAGTCATCACAGACCACAAAACGATTAGATGTAAGATCTGATGCTTCAGGTAAATGCACCGCCACATTCTAGGCAAATATACAGGGAGTGGCGAATATTTATACATTACTGAATTTCTATAGCCCAAACAGCGTTTACGGAAAAAGTAAGGTAAAATTTGTAGCAAAAGTAATTATAGTTTACTTGTATATTGCATAACCAATTCTCCTGAGAGCGACCAACGTAATTTGTATGTAAACTTACGTAGAATATTTGATGAACGGTTTTTCTTGGAAAAATTAAAAGTGAAAAGCAAAAAACCCTAGGTTTCTAAAGGTTTGAGAACTTCGGCAATTAATCTTAGGTCATTACATACAATTAGAAAGTGTACGCGCCTAATGACTCTTTTATCTACCTATTTCAACAAATTGCAGGACACCCAACGGCGTATCGGGTGGCGACCTCCATTCTTGGATATGACCTTGAAGGTCAATTCAAGGAAGACTTGATTTTTTCACATGGAACCCCTCAATTCTGAAGAATCTATCCAAGATCCCTTTTTTCACTTGCAAAGATTATCGGTCACTTCCATCCACGAAAATAGGTCATTTCACCTTGAAATAACCTCTAAGCGTGATTTTACCTCCGTTAATTGAACCTTAGAACAATTTATCTCAATTTTCAGCTCTAGGGCCAAATTAAGAGTTTCCACGTGAAAAATCAATTTGACCTTGAACTGACCTTCAAGGTCATAGCCAAGGTCAAAATGAAGATCACCATCAGATGTGCCGGTTGATGTCCTGTAATTTTCGCATTGAACGTTCTTATTTAATATCCCTCTTTTTCCTGTTATCCGCTGCTTCACAACATTCCATGAAAGAGCAACAAAGTTGAAATAACCTCTAGATGTGATTTTAGCTTCCATGATATTCACGCCGTTGAAAAGGATTTTTGTTCTATTTCTGCAATAAAAAATGGGGGTTCCTATTTGAAAAATCAACTTGCCCTTGAAATGACCTCTAAGGTGAATGTCAACGCCAAATCCAAGATCACCACTAGATGCATCAATTGATGTTACTGCTTCTACAAAAAGCTCATCATGGCCTGTAAGAATACTGTGATTCTATTTGCATGTTGAATTATTGTCTATTTTGTTTTATTTTATTTCATGTTATATATGTTGCTTGTGACTATGTACTTTGTTTAGTATCTTATTTACTACTTTTGTCAATAAGAATATCGTATTCTTGGGCAACAAAGTATGTTTTGATTGACTGATACAATTATTATACAATTCTCGATGAAACTGTCGAAATATTTCGGAGCTATGCTCCCTTTGAAAAAACGTTTAACGACTGCCTCTTTTGGATTCTGTCGTTCAGATTTATTTAGGTGTTATATAATACTGAACATCTTTAATAAACATTTTTAGACATTTGCTGGTACCCATAATCCACTGGTCTCATCTCGAGAGAAATAATGAGGCTTATTCTCCTTGAAAACATGTATACTTCTTGGATTCTCAATCATGAATTGAATTGCTTTTTTGATATTTGGTACAAAGCAAGATGGCTCTACGTCAGGGGAGGTGGATGACTTTCGTAAAATTGCTTCATCAGTTTCTTCTAGCCAATGCTCAATACCTCGAGGCATTTTATAAAAAAATGGACCTGCAAACAGTGATTAATATATCAGCTCAAAGACATATGTTATGCGAACGTTAAACACCTCACGCTTGTAGCGCCGTTTCATCGTCTGTCATGTCCGCGTTTATTGAGCATTGAGCGCAGCAAAACACCCAGGAGACACGAGCGTTAATTGGATAGTAGATGGTGCTACTTAGACTGGAGCAACGAATTCGGACTAGGTCCAAGGAGCAGATATATGATTCGTTTGACACCAAAATTATGTAGGCAATAGTCAGGATGTAAATTCATACTACAACTCGATCAGACTTAAGCCGCCTGTTTGACAGTTGCTTCACGTTAAATTCGTACTTTTCTGCGAAAGCATATCTAATTGCATGGGTTCCATACAATCCGCTTTATGTTGGCTGAACGATAACATCGCACAGATAGTATTTCTGCCCTGCAACGTGAGTACAGCCAGTATGACTGGCTACTTGAATACCTCTTCAGAGAAAAAAATGTACGTTGATGTCCTGACTTCGTCACGTTGCACTAAAACCACAGCTTAAGGTGCATTTGACACAGCCCAGATATCACCTTCTGTCGACTATGAAGATATAATTCAAGAAATAAACGACAGACAGTCTAGGAAGAAAAACTTAATTATCTTTGGGGTTCAAGAGAGTGCACATCAGTCCAACGCGCAAAAGAGGGCTCATGACACTGAACAAGTCAAAAAGATTCTACAGGTCTTGGATCGTGATGTTAATGCCGATAGTATTAAGCCGATTAGACTAGGATCTATCAAAGCTGGTATAATGAGGCCCATGAAAATAACACTTGGGGATGAAGATGATGTTCGTGCTTGTATTAAGTCAGCTAGCAACTTAAAGAGGAGCAATGTTCTCTCCAGGACTAGTATCTCATTTGATCGTACACCTCGACAGATCTTGCATTATAAAAAACTGAAACAGGGGATGGAAGAACGCTCTGCAAGAGGCGAAGACGGCTTAAAGATCAAGTACGTTCGTGGTGTCCCTAGAATCGTTTCGGAAAACTAGGGAAGCCAAACAAAAATATCCCTATGCGCTGTTATTTCCAAAACGTGCGCGGACTGAATACCAAATTCAATGAATTTTACTCCGCAATTTTGTCTTCTGATTATGATTTTGTAGGACTTGCCGAAACTTGGTTGTGTAGTGGTGTGAGAAATTCGGAACTATTTCCTCCGGAGTATATTGTCTACCGTTGTGACCGCGATTTCTTAAAAACAAACACTTCATGCGGAGGAGGGGTTTTGCTAGCATGTAACATTTGTAGACTTTGAAACATTTTTGGAATTATTTTCACAAACTACAATAAGTCAATTAAATGTCCTAATTATAGGAGATTTCAATGTAACAAATTTTGTTGATAATACAATTGTTGATAGACATTCGACTGCACTTAACAGATTTTTGTAATTTTCAGGTCTTTCTCAAACCAATACTGTTTTGAATGCTAGACAAAGAAAGTTGGATTTGGTGATAACTGACATGACCTGCGAAACCTATCATGATAATTTGCCGCTGGTCAAGGAAGATTTGTATCATCCTTCTCTATCTGTAGTTTGTGAAACTAAATTCAATGCCACTATTAATTTTGACACGAATGTAGCAACTCCAACCTACAACTTCAGGAAAGCTAGTTTCATTGGCCTTTACAATGCCTTGACTTACATTGATTGGTCCTTTTTGGACAACGTGGAGGATGTCAATCGCATGTGTGACTTGTTCTATGAAAAATTATACTTCGTTTTTGATCTGTACGTTCCGAAATATATTAAGCATAAGCATCTTTATCCAGGTTGGTATGGCTCGGATATTATTCGAAATTTAAAACTGAAATGAACAATATAAACGTTCCAAAAGTCAGGAAATCTATAGACAGTTTTCTAGTGTCCGTGAACTTGTTAAACAACAGATAAAAGACTGTTACAATCTATATCTGCAAAAAGTTGAAAATGATTTGGTTACAAATCCGAATCATTTTTGGTCTTTCATCCAGTCTAAGAAAGGCTCATCTAGAATACCAGGTAGGATGACCCTTGCTAGTGAAGTCTCAGATAATCCTAATCGGACTATTAATTTATTCGCAGAGTATTTCCAAAGTGTTTATGTTATAGATAGTAATGTATACCAACATCCCGTTGTTAATAGTCAGCATGACTGTTTTCATCTGGGTAACTTCACAGATGAGGATATTCTAAAGGCACTGTGTAAATTACCAAACAAGTTAACAGCAGGAGAAGATATGGTACCGAGCTTTGTAGTCCGTGATGCGGCGCACATATTTGTCACGCCTTTAAAGAAAATGTTTAATTATTCCCTCAGTACAGCAACTTTTCCTACAAAATGGAAACTGGCTAGAGTGTGCCCTATTTTAAAATTACCGAGCTATATCTATATTGGATAATTTTGGTAAGGCATTTGAGATATCTGTATACAACTACATCTATCCTTTGACCTCGCATCTGATATCTGAGACGCAACATGGATTTATGCGCAATCGCTCTACTATTTCTAACTTAACTGAAATCACCCAGGAAATTGCAGAGGTCTTAGATAACAGGGGTCAGATGGATGTGGTCTATACGGATTTCTCAAAGGCCTTCGATAAGATAAGTCACCAAAGAATCATAGGTAAACTTCAGCATTTTGGCTTTAGCAATCATTTATTAGATTTCATTTCTTCTTACTTGCATGATAGAAGTCAGTGCGTTTCTTACCATGGTTTCAAATCTTCACCTTACTCGGCCTCATCCGGTGTACCGCAGGGATCAAATATAGGTCCTCTTCTCTTTCTTTATTTTATCAATGACCTCCCTAACTGCTTAACCTGTCCTTCTCTGTTGTTTGCCGATGATTTAAAAATATATGCTCAGATTAACAGCATTGATGACTGTCTAATCTTGCAAGCTGACCTGAATCATATATTTGAATGGTGTTCAACTAATAAATTATTTTTGAATGTTAGCAAATGCAAAACCTGTTCTTTTACCAGGAAAACGAATCCAATAGTTTTTGATTACACACTAGAAGGTGTCAGTTTGATGCGTTGTTCAGAAGCAAGAGATCTAGGTGTGTTGTTTGATGTTAAATTAGAATTTACAGGTCATATTAGTACAATAGTATCATCCGCTATAAAAAGTCTCGGTTTTTTTATAAGAAACTGTAAATCGGTTGGTTGGAAACGACACTGAAGGCTTTATACTGCACCTTGGTGTGTTCTAAGCTGGAATATGCATCTAGTGTATGGCACCCATATTACCAAATCTATATTAATGAAATTGAAAGTGTACAGAAGAGATTTCTTAAATACTTGACTTTCAAATTAGATGGTGTTTATCCCAATCGTGGGACTCCCCAATCAGCAATGTTGCTCAGATTTGAAATGCATCCTCTTGAGCTGAGAAGAGTTTGTAATAGTTTAACATTCCTTTACAAACTCGTACACAGTGATGTTGATTCTTCAGCTTTATTAGCTAAAATTGATTTTCATGTACCGTCCCGCATTTCCCGAAGATTTCTCGCTTTTTACTTAAAAACACCAAATTCTAATGTTATGATTAAGTCACCCGTGTACTTTATATGCTCCAGCTTTAACGCCATAGCTGATAATTGTGACATTCATCATGATAAAATCAAAGATATATTAGCTGTATTCAGCGACTACTATTATTCAATTTATAACATTTAAGACATGTAGGTGAGTAGGTGTAGCTATTCATTTTTTTTTTCATAAAATGGGTGAGCTATGATTGTAGTTGAAAATATTGTAACATCAAATTGTATTCAATTACATTGTCCTTTAAATGGATGTATCTGTTGGGCAATAAATATATTATTATTATTATTTAGATCTGAGCACGCACGCACTGATCCACCGCGAATGCTCAAGTGTAAACGGCTATGTGTGTGCGCACGCTCACCCTGTATTTTCCTGTGCGCGAGCAACAGCCAATGCGATCTGCCTGTTGTCGGTCTCAAAACGTTGCTCAAAGAATAATTATTTTTTTTATGGCGCTAGGACTATGTCCCATTAACCAGATCCTTTTTTACAATTTACACTTCTCTAACGGAATTAATGGGTCAGTGTGGATGGAAGCGACATCGCGGCGCACAGGATTAAAGAGTTGATTGTATTTAGTTCAGTAAATGATGAAATGGAATAATACTAATGTCCTAATACTCTTGCAAGAGTTTGAGAATTTATTCAATATCGAAAAAAAAATGGTGCATGGAAATAACTAGTAATCAATAATTGTAGCATTGAAAATTTATACTGTTGCGAAGGACAGAAAAAAAATAATACTCTGATAGGATCATTTCGTCTCGAAAAAAAAAAGAAAAATGAAGATTTTGACACTCTGAAAAGATACTGCAAGCTACTGTAGGAGTCTCCAGTTGCCAAAAAAATGCAAGGTTATGGCTAAACGTTTTCGAAACTGAGTATCAATTTTCATTATCGTCGGTGTTACCAACGGAAGCAGGAATTCAAAGTCAGCCTTGGTCATTCTTGTAAAATGTCTGAATAATTGATCATACAGACTGTCTAATACTAATTCCTTTCGTTTCCGATTTTCTTTTCTTTCAATTAAATTATACAGTATAATAAATGTTGCCGCGGCTATATGTCTATTCTCCATGTTAACCTCGTACGCGGATCAGACCATGCGTTGAAAAATGAATTTCACTTTAAACACTCTCCACGCACGCGAATGAATGCGTGCGCGTATGCTCAGGGCGTGCGTGCTCATATGTAAACGCAGCTTTGGATAACAATCAGCTATGAAACTCTCCTGTCAGTGTCAAAATCGGCCGCCATTTCGGCGGAGAAAGTCGAATGGAAATTCCCGCAGTACAACGATGAAAGAGGTTTTAGTGCTCAGCGGCAGCCGGTGTTGCCTCGTGTCATGCCAGCGGCCGCAGATATTCTTTGCAGTCTTAAAATGATAATATTTCGATATGATATAGTGTACCGGCTGCCGCTGAGCACTAAAAACTCTTTCATATTTGTACTAGGGGAATTTAAATTCGACTTTCTCCGCCGAAATGGCGGCCGTTTTTGACAATGACAGGAGAGTTTCATAGCTGATTGTTATTTAAGCTGTGCCAAAACTACACAATTTTGGCGACAAACAATGCAATGTAAACATACTGCCTTGGCTCCTAATCTATTCGAATTCGTTAGGCTCGAGGTCATGACAACAATTGACAATCACTGATCATATAGTCCACATCAATAGACGTCAATGTGATGAAGTCGTGAAAAAAAAAGGATAGGTTACCCTTCTATCAAATCTATCTTTTGATAGTCTGACCTCCGCCTACTCAAGCACCGCCTATCGGGAGCAAAATCTCTGCCATTGCTGCACTGCAAAAAGAAACTGCGCGTTGTAGCGTAGCGCTCGGACTAGTTGACACACGGGAAGTCAACGCCAGTTTTGCATGACACCGGCGTTACATGATATAACGCGCGCCTAGAGTGTGTGTTATATTAAATCTCCATTAATGTAATGCTAAGTGCGCGATTTTTTTTCAGCGCATCAATTTTACGCTGGTGTATACCGGGTGTAAAGGCTGAAACAATTACTCGAAACGGTTTGACGTCATGTCTTGACGGGGCGAGTCGTATTTGTTAGCCAAACGTTGTGCCCATAAAGCAAACGCATAGCAGTGCATTGTCAATCATATAACATCCGTATATACCATACAAAAATTGGTCCTGCTCTTAGCGTTAAAGACTTTTAGCGTTCGTATAACGATTCACTACATCATTTATGTGTGTCAAAACAAATACCAACGCGCGATATTCTCTCGCGCTCCTAGATGCTTGAGTATGCAGCAACAAGCGAATAGGAGCACGCGAATTGGGCGATCGAATACTCGTGGTTATTTTCACGCGGCGTAAGTGAGGTTTGAATAGGATTGCAAGTGACATGTTCCACTTTACCTATTTTAACCATACCAGAACTGTTCTCATAAATATTCATAATATTAGAGCTGCCTACTAAAATTTTTACTCCTCTCAATATTTCATCTGGGCCTTTTTCTGCAAACGTAGATGGAAAAACTTCACCTATAAAAAATAGATCTAGGGACAACCAGAAAAATAGTATTTGTAACTTCAGGTAGCTTTATGTTATCAAAGCCCAGTGAACATGATGACGTCAAAATGATTATACGGTCACTTTTGGTCGGAAAGGTCATTGGCTAAAAATGACGTCTTTATCGATGCTTTTTCTATGACAAGACATACTTCGAAAGGCTGCCATTTTGATGTCTTTTAGGACAGTCAGTACTAACAATCAATACTTGGCTACAAAGAAAATATGGACCATGAACAGTAAGAAACTCCTCTGTATAACAATAAACAAGATCAAGCGCGGTAAAAAATCAAATTTTGGAACGATCATCAGCGAAGAACCACGATTGTGCTTGGCGGTGAGCTCGACCGAGGTCCAAGCTCCATGCGTGTTTGCCGTTTGGCCCTTTTGTTTTATAAATCTGTGGGTTTGACCGACATCACGATGGCTTCATTCTCTCTAACGTACATTGTGGTACAATTTAGTAGGGGCGATAGTATTGTCACATAGTTAATAAGACTTGGGTGGCATCCAGGAAACAAGAAGAAAGCAAAGCGATTTTGATGAATTGCTACAAACAAATTCTGAACCATCGGAGGACTGGAACGTGTTTGAGATCAAATGGTGTTTTTTTTTAGTTTTTTATTAACAATCGGTGCACTTTGTACAAATGCTCCTTAAAAATTGCGGAAGTGATAACGACGTCTCGAGACAAGAGAGTTCAAGAGTGGTAGGTAAGTAGAATAAGAGTTTCGTCGCCTTTGTACCACTCCTGAACTCCCTGCTTGGAGGCCGTCATTGTCACACCCTCAAGTTTCCAGAAGCATTTGGATACACCTCGCGATTATTTTTGCGAGCGTCTGTATGTCATATCGATTTCGCATAGACGTAATATCAACCTCATAAAGACATCAAACAGACGTCGTATCAACTTTGTATTCGGTCTTTTATAAAACATATATTATGACGTCAATTAGGTGTTATAATGAAGGCATTTCTACATCATTTTTGTTGGTCGGCGTATGCCAGTAGTGCCCTTAAAAGCCGACATTATCACGTCACTATGTTTACTGGGAGACAAAATGGTAACCAAAAATGTTTGCTCATTATGGAGCTAGAATAAATGAGTATTAACACAAATATACTTGAATCTATACCTATTGGTTGCATCAATATAGGAATGATTTTATATTTCAATATGCTTCTGTAAATCATTCAACAATTCCAAGTAAATTGTTAGCTATTTATGCTAACCTGTATCAATATTAACAGCAGCACCATATACCTTTGGCCAAGGTTTATCATCTTTCAGAACAGTGTTAGCATCTCCAATACAAGCCAGCTGTAAATGCATTTCTTGATGCACTTTTTGTAAGGTTTCTAGTATTCCTACAAATATCTCTTCTGATAAGCCTCTTGGATCCGAGTACCCACCCACCAAATATATCTAGTGAAAATTAGAATGTTTAGAATGCATACAAAAATTCCTCTATAAACAAATATCAATAGACAGGATGTTAATTAGGTATGTACCATAAATTTAACAGTCGATTCTTTGAGTAATTTTAAGATAAAAAGTTCATATAAGCATAATGTAGGTCCGCAAATTGTTCATTCTCAAGATACACAGTGTTAAAATTAAAAAAAAATGGTTTTTCGTAAATATCTTTTACCTAATTTTGTTGTAATTTGGTGGTGAAATTTATAACATTAAGGAGCTAATTTAGTTCTAACTTGATAAAATTTATCAAGTCCAGTGGCATCTTTAGCGGGATCTGTCAAATTTATGGTACACACTTAATTAACACCCTGTATTATATGCATATATATATATATAGAGTATATTTTCTAGATTTAAAAAATGTAATCAAGAATGATTGGAGATGATTCTTAAAATTAATGTAGTAGTAAAGATGATGCTTCACTAATTGGCCACATAGCAAAAATGTATTTTAAAGCATTGCATATAGGGATGTATCTGTGTGAAATAAAGTAGCTGTACCTAATATGGTAAAAAAACAATAAGGTTTGATGACTGGACCACAATCAGATAGTCATCAATCTGCAATGATTCTAACTTGACCCAATCTTTTTTAATGCAGCTTGTGATATGAGATATAATATACTCACAACTCACACTGTACTTATTTTGTGAACATTCTTCTGATAAACGCTGTAGACTATTCATAATCTCCTTAATATGCTGTTCTATGAGACCTACATTGTCTAAATGTGCTAGCCCTGTAGCACCTAGAATTGGGAAAATATTAAAAATGAGAAAATATTAAGAGGCTACTTTTATACCAGTATTGCAATCTCGTACAATAAGAATAATACAAGTAGTCGCCTCATCTGAGCCCAGAATAATCACTCTATGATTTTTGGGTGTTACAACAGCATACTCTCGGGCCATAACATAGAGGCTTCCCTTATTATCCACCAATATATTAGGCATTTCAGAAAATTTTGTGCCATTTTTTTTATATGAGGGAAATAAGTTGAATAGAGCTTTGGTGCTTGTTGGATGCCTTTCCTCCTCCTGTTTTATGTTGTCAATAAATAATACCATGTTTTCTTTCAGATAGCTGTAGTCATTACAAGAGCAAAATCGGCTGTGCTGTGGAAAAACTCCAAAACATTCAGAAGTACAAGAAACAGGTACAAGTAGTTCTGTTCTACCATTTAATCTTAGAGGTTACATCCACAGTTACATCAGTATTCTGCCTCACGTCAATTTAGTTTTTGTGTTCAGTTTATTGGATTTTACATATCCATATCAATGATCATGTAATTACAAAACAAAAACACTGACTGACTTGGTCCTACAGTCCTAGTTGTTTCCAAATTTACACATGTCATCAATTGTCTAATTGTAAGAATCCTGTGACGTAAGTAAAACTTCTTTCATGCTTATGTCAGAAGCACAGCATCACAAATCAGCTATGAAACTATCCTATCAATGTCAAAAAACGACCGCCATTACGGTGGAGAATGTCGAATGTAAATTCTCCCAGTACAACGATGATAGAGCTTTCAGCGTTCCGTTATCAGTAGTCCTAGGCGGTGTTGCCGTGTACCATGCTAGCTGCCGCAGATGTGCGTTGCAATTGCAATCGTAAAATGAATTATTGATGATTATTTATTTACGAGAAAGCTTCAGAATAAGTTTGTAATGGTGGAAGGCTATAGTATTTACAATAAACGGAAAAATATTCACTCTTGTTTGATTTATTTATGTAAAAGAAATGACGGAACCAGGTGAAAACATATCTTTCCCGCTTCACATTTTACAGCAGTTACATTTTTAAGATGTTGCTATGATGGTACCATATTTTTGACCCCCATATTTCATTTTGAGACTCCGATCCTTGGAATATGATGACATTTTCGCAAATTTGAGCATCAGTCGCGATGCGTACGTACCCTTATCACGGGTTTCTATTGCATTTTTTGGTCAGTGGTTCAAATCCCATCCGTACCCGACAATTTTTTCATTTTTTTATGTTTCTCGTTTGAATTATTTTATTATGACTTATTTCAAAATCAACTCCAATGAATATTTATTAGTTTGTAGCATCTTATGTTTAGATTTTTAGAAAATAAAGCACCAATTCAAAGTATTAAATTACGTTTTAACGATTTTGTGTTTATGTTTACAGTAGATCGGTAAATATAGAGCACTGATCATTAGATTTACCAGTTTCCAATATATACTCATGTTACCTCATTATGTCGTAACCTGATAAATGATATGAAATAAGTTTATACTTTTCAATTGTTCAGGCACTGTTCTCGTAGTAGTAGACTTATATTTTTGCCATAGATAAGCCATTTCAGGATGAAAATAAAGTATTTTATAGATACGAATTTTACTAAAATTTCCAGTCTCTTGATCTAGTGTGTGTAACAAGTTTTAAGCATATGTTGTTTTTTATAAATAAATGAATATCAGTTTTGGACAAACATGCTCATTTTCTATTATTGGTTCATACAAACTACTCAAGATCATACCGCAATATTATAGGATTGAACGAATACGTGTCGCCGCTAGCATGGTGAGCGGCAATACCGCCTAGGAGTGTTGAACAGCGAATTTGTGGAACAAATTACTCCAATTTCTTCAAAAAATCCAGACACGTAATGCTATAAACTAATAAGTACTGCTCGGGACGCTTTGCGACAGTGCCATCATATCCCAAGGACCGACCCAATGATGATTTATGTAAAAAAGAATAATAACGTTTCTTAAAAATTTCAGTAAATGTTCATGTGGTATCCAAGTGGAATGTGGGGGCAAATTCTTTGATACCAAAATAGCATCTTAAGGAAATGTTATTGCTGTTTTTGTTCGGTTTCCTTAATTTCTTCTTCCTAAGTATATCAAACAAACGTAAATATGTTTCCGTTTGTTGTAAATACTGATAGCCTTCCACCATTACAAATTTGTTCTAAAGCTTTTTCAAAAATAAATAATCATCAATACCTCGTCGATTCGTTTAGGACAAACATGCTCCTCTTTTATTATTGGTTCACACAAACTGCTCATTAGCTCATATCGCAATAAAATAATTTTTACGATTGCAACGCATATCTGCGGCCGCTAGCATGGTACGCGGCAACAGCGCCTAGGACTACTCAGTACGGAAAGCTGAAACGGCTTTCATCGTTGTACTGGGGGAATTTACATCCGACATTCTCCGCCGAAATGGCAGCCGCATTTGAAACTGACAGGCGACTCAGGAGAGATTCATTAGAGATTTTTTCGAGAGATCCCGTAGTGAACCGGAGCGGGAACAGATGGAATTTCCCCTCCCTCTCGAAGTTTTGACAGTTTCAAGTTACACCGAGTGGTTAGATAACGCATGTTGCGCAAAATGTTTGCTTTAAACTCCTTGATAAACTTAGCTGCCTTGTTTGAATCTGAAATAAAAAGACCGATCGTTTTTGTGCAATGTACATATATATCAATAAAATCAATCATCTGATATGACAAATGCGGTTCATATATCTTCGATGACCTTCTCCCTCATCATTTAAAATCAGGTGGACGTGTTCCTCCATTTATGGTTTAATAATTTAACTCAATTTTCGGCACTGCGAGGACAAATTTTCAATTGAGATGCCTGTTTTTTAAATGAAGTTGACATGAGACCTGTCACCCGCTAGTACCTCAAAAATAAAATTCAAGCGGATAACCAAATGGAAATGGTATTTACCATTTTGGGTTGGTATTTACCAATCCGTTCAAGCGAGTGTAGTTATCAGTTTGGTTATAAGATCCGTTATCACCGCAAAATTGTGGAATTTACCCAACTCAAGAGTAGTTTTATATTTCTGGTTATTATTTGAAATGTGACAAGTTAGAATTTGGCCGGGTATTGGATATTGTTATTGTAGTTCAGCTTCATTTTTGAGAAAAATGATACAGGCTGACTTCAGTTTTACCATAAAGTGGAGCACCTTATTAGTTATACTCATTACGGTTGTTGGGGACACTTTAAATGTAGTTCCTATGCTTAACAAAGTATCCTGTGTAGCCATATACCACAAGAATATTAAAATATGGCCATATAAACTCACTAGATGATATCCACCTGTACACGGTTTTGCTAATTTCTTTTTTCATCATTTCTGCTGAATCAATATATGTTTTCTTTGACATGCGGAAAAATTTAGAGAATTGAAAGTTATCATAGCTACAAAGCCATGGTTCGATCATTAAAAAAAAATCTGAAAAAAACATGTCTCCCATGAATATTATGAAAGGTTTCTTATTTAAACTTTCCATATACAGTTGTAGACGAAAAAGCACCGATTATTAAGTGATAATAAAAATAATCTGTGATTATATACGCGCTTTTATAAAATAAACAACTTGCAACAAAACCGCGGTTAAAACCAACGCGTTCAAGCGATTCGTGTAACTGACGTCATCAACCCGTGTGCCATCTTGAACCATATTATAACCGCGGCACATAACACAGAAATGTTGGTTATTCGCTTGGATTTGATTAAAGACGTTAGGCGGGTACCCGTACCATGTGATTTTTTGACATTCGGACGACGTCACATCCGTCTTTCCCTATGCCCGTTCTTCGCGAAAATTTGAGTATCGGTTCCCGGTAGTGCACTGTGCTACACCGTGGATTCGCGAAAAAATCCTTATAGCATATAGCTGATTTTTATCTAATACCCTCTCCAGACTCCCTCGCGAATCGCACGCAAAGCCGCGAAATACCCACGACCCATGAGTGTGGATCCCATTCGCTTATTCTTCTCGGCTTCACGTTTCTTATCGGTTTTTTGGCCCGCGACAAAGGGTTCGAAAGGCGCGAACATGACTAGGCTCCACATTCGCTCTTGGCTCAGTTGCCTCATAGCAAGTGCCGGGAGTGGTTGTGTTTTTTCCACTTCTTGTCAATTGTTTTAGTTTTACTTATATATGCGTAATTATAAATTGCCAAAGCGCAAAGTAGCCCTGCAGCAGCAGTAGCAATTTCTGCGAGTGTGGAAGTGTAGCAACAAATGGCGGGATTCGCATCGCGATCCGCGCCGCGATTTCACGCCGTGATCCGCGCGTGAGTGTGGAGAGGGTATAACCTTTGTCAGAAGTATAGCTAGATTACAATTAGAGCCCCTTTCCAGTGCCTCATTTGTGTTACTCGTAGCTGCCCACCACATGTCAATACCGTTCCAGTGCTCTAGAGTGTCATGCACCTGAGCTACTCATTTTTGGAATCCCCTGCCCCTCAGGCACCAGCTTTTTATTCGGTGTTAAACGCTCCGAACTAGTGGCGATAACAAAAGTCACAATGTGTTAGGTTGTTTTTTCATTGTTTTTGTTTTTTTTTAATTAAACTCACATTAAACCGATACCAGACAATGGAGGATGGTAGAAAAACTGATAATCTTATAACTCAGAATCGCAACTTTCATTTGAAATGTTCCTGAATAATAAAGATCACAAGTGAGCGCAAGAAGGCAAGTTCATAGCGGCTTGTATACCCTGATTCACGAGTATCCATCACGCTTTGACGTCTACTGAGATGAACAGGGGTGCGTTTGTAAATCACTTGGTAATGTAATGCCGTACATAATAATGGAATGTAGTTTGACAGATGAAATTTTACTTTGGAATCCTGTGAAGCCCAATTTTTAGAACGTCTAAATTATTACAGAGTCATGTAATTACACTTGATGACAGCCGACTAATTTCTAACCACGTTTTTGCTACCATTGTAATTATTATAAGAGATCCTAGGGACACGGGGTAGCATTTTTATCATGAACAATATACAGGGTGACTTTGAAGTTGAGTCATTAATTTTCAGATAATGATTGTAGAAGGAATATAAACCAAAATATGTGTGTAAAAATAAAAAAAAATTAAAAAAAAATTTTTACCTTGTTTTATAAAGTATCCTCCCGACAAGTATTTCAGTGCGGACCTGTATTTGATCGTGAGGTCCCCTGTGAGGTCTTAAGTCACCTGATTCACGAGCCCGTTGTACTACATTAACAAAGGCACGAGGGGTTGGTTGCACTCGATTGGGAAACCGATCCGCATAAACATGTGCCATTTTTTATTTCGTTTGAGCCACGCAACAGATACAACTATTCACTGACACTTACTGTATACAAATGAATGAAATAATTCGTTCCAAATTCTTTCGCTTTTTGTTTCCGATGCGATGAACCGATACGACGGATTATATCCGTTGTCGCCAAACACGAGCACATTGAGACAGGGCGGTACCAAACTTCCAAAGGGCTATAACTTTGTTACTTTAATTTTACCAGAAAAATGGTAAAGGAAAAAAACATTTCTTTTGATCAGATCTACTCACTGTTAAAATAAATGACTCAACTTCGAAGTCACCCTGTATATTCTATCAATTTTGAGTAGTTTTTGATAACCAAATAAAATAAACAAGCAATGAACCACGCGAATGACAAGAGACAGAACTCTTATTTCCAAGGCTTTGTTACAGAGTAGTACAAAGTACACTCTGTAACGGTTTACGAACGCAGCCCAGCTGATCAGCAAGTAATATTTTTGTGTTAGTCTGCGACGTTGGTTATAATGAATCAAGTGTAAATCTAGCAAACATTTGTTTGTAGCGTTTAGTTTTTTCTATGAAAATGAACTTTTCTAAATAAAAGAGCTTTTAGTAAGTACAAAATGAATCTGTAGCGTACAAAAAACCGAAACAAAGTATGACTCTGGCATTGACGGATCCGTCAGAATTATGTGTCCTTGCCGATAAGGGGAATTTTGAAATATTACTAGATAACCAGCAGTCATTCTACCATGGATACACGTGAAATGGGGTATATTTGGCTTCATCAATAACCTATAACTAGACACTTTGAAAATAATTTTGAATGTCCACACTAAAATATGAATTCGACACATTTACCCACAAGCTTTATAATAAAACCTGTGGCGTGTTGCGCCATCATTATAAAAGCATCATCAGGCATCAAATGCTTTTGAAAATAAAGGCAATATGTGTTCACAGTTTCCTTGTTTGGCAGTGTGATACAAATTGTCAACGTCAAAGCAAAACATCAAAAAACAGGTTGGGTTTTTATCGTCGGGCTCCCGTGCACATTTGCTAGAGCAGTTCGGAAGCGTCACCCTCCCTGCATACAACTCTCAATTCAAAAGCACTGGAAAGCGGCTCAGTTATGAAACTTTGTGTATGAAACTCTGTCAGTGTTCAGTGTCACGAACAGCCGCCATTTCGGCGGAGAAAATCGCATGTAAATTCCCCCGGTGCAACGATGAACGGTTTTAGTGTTCAGCAACAGTCTGGTAAAAAATAATAGACAGTCCGATTTTATTCTGAGCCCAGAGGAACATTCAAATGAGAGTTTATAAAAACATTATTTATCAGTTAGATTAAACCGTTTTGCATGAATATTAAGAATGCGTGACAAAAGTAAATGTGTTTCTGATTATTGTAAATACTTCCACCAATACAAATTTATTTTAAATCTTTTTCGTAAATAAATAGTCATCAATACCTCGTTACTTGTTTTTGGACAGACACTCCTTTTTATTAGGTTCACACCAACTACACCAGATCATATCGGCATATTACAATTTTTACAACAGCAAAGAATATGCCGCTGGCGGGGTACATTCATATTGTACTAGAGGAATTTACATGCGATTTTCTCAGCCGAAATGGTGACTGTCTTTGTCACTGACAGGATAGTTTCATAGCTGATTGTTATCTTTCTAAGCAGTGCTTCTGTCATCTCTATCGTGATAAATTTGTGGTGTATGGACTCCCTATATGTCACATTCGCGGTCTTCCCCTCCTTGCTGGCTGCCCCACTTTTGTCTCCCCACTCATTTTATCACTGAAGGAACTTGGATGTCTATGATTTGCTGGATCTCTGCAATCATCAATCTGTGTTTCGTGTGTGTTAGGCCGGGTCCAAACCTCGTGAGTTTTGGAAAGAATTGTTTTTAAAATGTTTACACTTTACAGTTTTGGGATAAAGTGAGTCGAACAGCACTTAAAAATGTGGCGGATTGCTATATATGAAACAGTCTATATTATTATCTACGGCCTATATACAGTGTTCGAATTTATTTGTGGAATGTTCGAATATGTGTATCAAACAGTTTTTTTCACTTGTCACGAGTTTTTGTTTCCCAGCGAAAAGAGAGCAAGACTGAAAGAACTTGTAAGCAAAATAAAGAAAAAACCTAAACACTTAACTGTACTATTGGGTCCAGAAGATGCTGAAGTCACAGACTTAGCTAACCTGGTAATTTGGTGTTTGGCTTCCCAAATCGTTTTCATCAGTTTTTATGATCACAAAGGTAGGGAATACATTTTAAAATACTATAAAATAGTACTAGTAAATATATTTAAATTTCAGGTAGCTTAAAAAAGAAGGAAGAAAAGCTGCAGTTAGAAGTGAAGAAGCATAGTGGTGATACAGCACAAGTAATATGGTATACTGATGAGAATTCCAATCTTGAAAATGGATTCAAGGGAAGCAAAGTTCATGTGAAAATTATTACTGATGAAGACAGTAAAATGAGTGCAGCAACCATCACAAAATTGCTGGTGGAGTCTGAAAATGAAGATTTCACCATAGAAAATATTCATAAACACTTTGTGAAACAGTTTAGGTTTCCAGATCCAGAAATGGGGATATTATTTGGAAAAGACTATTGTTTTTATAATTATCCTCCATGGCAAATGCGTCTAACTGAATTCTTTAGGTTCAAGAGTGCAAAAAGCATCACTTATGCCCAATTTTTAAATCTATTAGTAAAATTTTCACAACGTGAGCAAAGACTAGGAAAGTAATTTTTTGTATAATATTTATTTTATATTTGGCAGTTGTAGAGATAAGGTAAAGAATGAATATGTTGAGTCAACATGTGAATTACCGCTGTAAGTCTTATTCTCAAATTAATGTGGTTACCAATTTTTATATATTTATGGTAGTTCAAAGAACATTAAGAAAATTGAATTTTTAAAATGACATTATGAATTATACAACAAGAATGAGCAAAAATTTAAGTAAATGTCTTTATTTTAGAACATAATTTATTACTATTTCAATAAAAATACTTCAAAATAAGTTTTTAGACTGTTTTCAACACAAACAAAATCATACTTGACTGACTACTACATCATTGTGGTGGTTATTTGTATATATGTTGGCGTCAAACATTGAAATCCGTCATTCCCTGAAATTCCTAGTCAGTCCCCATATTTCCGTCAAACACCATATCAGTTGGATTATTACAACAGTTGAGTACACATTTCAGTTATTCCCTGTAATGACTGAACAATTTCAATCAAACACTGTAACAACCACATTAACTTCGTTACTCTATTTGCCTGAGTCAGTCTTTCGTTCCAGTTTTGTGTTCATTTGCTTGAGTATACACATCGTTTTTGAGAAACTATGACAATGTGAATATGAAACAACCATGGAATACAAATGAGTTGAAGGAGGTAAGTTGATTTTAATTTTGTGAACCTAACCAAATTATAACGATTAAAAAAAACAATAATGTAATAATAAAGACGTTTTAATCTATTCTTCTTTCCTTTTAGATTAATTCATGCTTGATAATTTTTCTTTTAATATTATTGATAAAGTAGTACCTTGTTATATTATGTACTTCTTTCGAGCAACACTGTATTGATTACAGTGTTTGACTAAAATAGGCGATTGCAGTAACGAAGTTAATGTGGTTGTTACAGTGTTTGACTGAAATTGTTCAGTCATTACAGGGAATGACTGAAATGCTTAGTAAAATGTTGTGATAATCAATCTATTACTGTGTTTGCCAGCAATACTGAGTAGGCATTTCAGGGAATGACGGATTTCAGCGTTTGACGCCGACATATACACAGGTATATGCCTGCCTGAATAAAAGATATGTTTCAAACCACTTTCAGCATAAAAATATTAGTACTTAGTGTACATTCTCATCTTTTTGCTGCTGGTCAGCTTTTATAATTGTATGTAGTAATATATAGGTAGAATGATTGGGTGAGGTGCATAAATTGAAACTGAGATATGTAGTATGTTTTTTGATATAAAAATATCAATTTACTTGTCAAATGACAATTTGACATGTAAATTCCGAAAAACCACGTCACTCAGACGTCTGTCTGCTAATCTTATAACTTGAGAAGTACCACTCAGAGTTCGATGAAATTTTTACACACTGTTATTACTATGCCAAGGACCCAAAAGCTATGTAACTTTTGAAAATCGGTGCCGTGGTGGTGGCGGAGAAACAGCCCAAAAACAAACAAAAAACGCCCGATGCCGTTTTGACGTTTCCGACGACCCTTATCATTTTCGGAATAATTTTTGTAGGGCTTAAAAATTCTTAGGGGTAGCGGGATAAATCTTATTTTTTCGACGTTGTATTTATACGCATTGAACCCCAGTAATGTTATAGTTGTAGTCATTGTACTTAGCGGTTACGTCATCAACGCCATATGAAATAAGTAAACAGATCGAGTCTCTGTACCATGGGCGGGTCTTAATCTTAAGCACATCTGCTACTCTCTCCAGTAAAAAATGAAGTGGGTAACAGGGGACAGCTGTTCTCATTTTCTTCCCGGAAATAAATACTCTATTAGATTTAGCACGAGCTGTCGGCCTTCTACATTGATCGTATTTCGGGGCATTATACAATTTTATATTGAAGATTCATAACAGGACAACTAAAATTGCACGCACATGTCAAGTAAGTTGTCACTATGACAAATATGATTGAAGGACACTGATACGACAAAGTTTTCGAGACGGAGACACAACTAAAAACCGCATGTCTTTGAGCTTACCGAACAAACGTTCACACACAGGGGTAGGTTGCATGTGTATGTATGAGGTAGATGGAGATATATAAAGGGATACTGGTAGTCTTACTTTGACCCGCCAAGAACGGTGATTACAATTATACCCACATATTAGGCATCATGATGTCCCCATACATTTACCCTTAAAATTTGGAAATATCTCCAACAATCGGGTGTCGATACCTGCGACGTTTTCCCCCGATGTACATCACAGTTGGCAATCGCTACCGCTCTGCTGTGTGCACTGAGAGTGGTGAATGACTATACCGTCATTCATGCGAGTGAGATCCTCTCCCATATCGTGTCTTCACCAAGATAACCGGATCAGAATCCATTGAAGTGTTTTATTGGGATTGCCTAAGAGACACTTTGTATCAAATAGAAGTAGTTTCTATAATACAGTTGCGTGGTAAAACCTGATCGGCCACCAGGTAAATTTTTCAAAGATAATACTCGCGCAAACTATGCAATTCTGTGGAGTCAGGGCAGCTGGGCTTTCTTGAATCCTGTCAAGGGGCATACTGCCATCTTAGTCGAAATGCAAATGGAGGACCCCGTCCTTCTAAGCAGGGGTGATCGTATTACCCCTAAATATCGCTTCAACCCCAAGGTTATTGTGGAGTATCCAACGAGGAAGGAGTGAGACGCCGGTAGCCGGGGACTCTCCGGAGTTAGCGGGCAGGTCTGGTACACGGACGGCTCGGTCACCGAAGAGGGCTCAGGTGCTGGGGTCTCTGGGCCTAGAACTAGGCTATCTCTGCCTCTCGGTGGATACACCACTATTTTCCAGGCGGAAATCTTTGCGATTCTGGCTTGTGTATCTCACATTCTGGAGGAGGGTAGGCCTAGGAGAAGAATAACAATCTTATCCGACAGCCAGGCTGCAATGAAAGCACAAAGTGCCTGTAAGATTACTTCGAGTCTTGTATTGCAATGCAGGGAGGCTCTGGATTGCCTCGCAGCGAGGCATCCGGTATCGTTAATATGGGTACCGGGGCACGCTGGGATAAGGTGCAATGAGACGGCGGACACTCTTTCGAAGACAGGATCAGCCAGCAAGCTCGTTGGTCCTGAGCCAGCTCTAGGAGTGACCGCGCATAAAGCTAGGAGGAAAATGGAGACGTGGGTTGCAAGACAACACTCTCAGAAATGGAGAAGTATCTCCGTCAGGCACGGGAACTCATTGAAGGGCCCAGTGCTAAGGATGGACGTTTCTGCTTATCTCTGGATAGAGAAAAACCTAAGGTTGCTGGTGGGACTGTTGTCTGGCTATAAAACGTTAAGGCGCCACCTGCACGTGATGGGGGTGGCTGAGGATCCCTTGTGTGAACGCTGCGGGATAGAGGAAGATACCTCGGCGCACGTTTTGTGTCGCTGTGAAGCTCTGAGCTACTAGAGGCAGACTATACTGGGGTCCATTACTTTGGACCCTCAGGACGTCAAGGAGCTTGGACTCAAGGCGATTCTCAACTTCGCTAAAAGGGCGAAGCTTGTAATCTAAGGAATGTAGAGGTGCATAAGGGACCGCTTAAGCGGCCTATGCACTGGCTCCTTATGGTGGCCGGAATGCCTCTAATTTCAAGATTCATTCATTCATTCATTCAAGCAATTCCTCTATTATTAAGTGATGTAGGGCATGCATAATGGCTAATGGTGGTCAATCTAAATACCTAATACCTGCTGTACTGAATATAATAATAAATATTATGAAGTAAATCTAGCCATTACTTCTTAAACGCGTCATGAAAGTTTTTTGATATTCCAGAAACTTGACAAACTTAAAATTGATATAAAAAAGAAAATGGCAAACAAAATGTTAGGAATAGTATACAGTAGTAAACAACCAACTTATTAAATCAATTGGGACGGTGATCCTAGCCCAATCTTTATTCCTACAGGGTGTCAAATTTGGACATATAATTTTGTTTTCATTGAAATAATTCTCATGTGGAAAGCGCTACAACGAAAGAACAAAAAAATACTGATTCTGACGAAACAATTGTTAATATTTTGGAAACCAGGTTGAAAAAATATATTTGTAGAAATGGGAACAATTCAACTAGACGAGTGTTGATTTTTGCTAAACAAAAAATGATTGCTACTACATGTACAGAATATTAAGCCAATGTCGTAATCCACTCCCTAAATATTTATATTTTCAACAACCTGTATCTCGATAAGGGGACATGTTACGACCTAATAGGGGCTGAGACTGCGCTTAAGAGTCGCAAGTCTATTCATAGAGGGAAGTCACTCGTTCCAAAACGCAAGCAAAGCACTCTCGCACTCGGCTGAATGTTTTTTGTCCAGCGGCGTTTTTGGCTCTCACAATCTTTCTGGCTAAACAAATATAGTTTTCCTAAATAACATATAAAAATCAAGTGTAATAATGTTTTACGAAGTGTATATAAAAATTAGGCATGAGAATTTAAGCAAAGTTAGTCTTACTTTTACTTCTCTTTCTCACCTGCTATCAGTTGGCAGCCCTGGGGTCTTAGACTATTAGGACTTGAATATCAGTGTTAACATTTACGTATGCGTCTTTTGCGATTGCAAAAACTCCAATTTTTTTATACCGTAGCAACCGCGTAGGCAGAAGCCTTAATGCCTGCATATCCAGGCTGCTATTTGGAGCTCAAAGGAGCTTTGTTAATCCGATGTTTGAACTGTCTACGATCAGCAGAACTCTAAAAAGCCATCCACAATCTCGATACCCTAAAGACAAAGGAGCGGTCATATTGGCCAGTTCTGGATGTACGATGTTCGACACGGTTAGGATGAGAGGTAGCAGTCAGGCAGGCACAGAAAAGAGCTGGACCGCCGCCTGTCGGTGCGGAAAGGTCCCGAAACAAGATATAACTTGTAGGAAGTACTAACTGAAGCTCCACAGAGTTATAAAGATTCCTGGGCAGACAGAGCGACAGAAAAACAATGAAAATGATTGACACGTTTTTTGTGGAGAATGGGGCATACATTGTCAAGAAATTAATATTTTTAATCCGAAAATATTTCATGATGAAAAAACTTACGTGCCTATTAATCCAGTCAGTTGGTGCCCACGGTAGTAAATCGCAGTGTTACGGATTTCGACGATTTTCGAATGTTCACTTTTGTAACATTGCGTTGGCTCCAGCAAGAAGTGGCGCCCCATACTAGTTCTTATAGATATGTAACAGACTGAACTACAGAAAACTTCCTTCAATTCACAGTCGGCAAAATTTACTTCAATAAGAAATATAGGCGAAAACTAAAAGTGCTTATACGATTTTGACTGTGCCACTCGTGGTGATTATTGGCAACAGAACATTCAAAAAATGTTTCAAGATCGCTCCTCTTATGACAAAATAAACTAGAAAAGACGTTTAAACAAGTAGTTATAGTATTTTTTTTGCTATATGAAGTATATTGGCTTAGGAAATAAAAATCGTGTTTCCAAAAATGCGAGAAATTTTGTTCCTGTATTGTACTTTGACATCTTCTATTCGTCATTGTCTGTTAGAGCGGTCCGTAGGACCTTTGCTCTTGGTTAAAGTCTTGTAAGTCAGTAGGTCTGTCAGGTCTGGTTGCCCAGATACCAAACAAAGTCAGGGAGAAAGAAGGGAAGAAGAAAGGAAGGAAGGAGGGAGAGCAAAGAAAAAAGAAGTGCATCAATTTGAGGGGTGCCT